TGGGTCCATGGGGGCCATGGGTGGAGCGGGGGAAGGGCGGAGCAAGCGGAGCGGGCGGAGCGGGCGGGCGTGCACTGGGGCCCTGTCTAGAGGCATAGGGTCAGGGGACCATGGGGCCATGGGGCCAGGAGCCGGTTGGCCGTCGAAGCATAAGGGAGACATTGGGGGCCATGGCGCCAGGAGCCATGGGGCCATGGAGGCATGGGGGTCGAGGGCCATGGAGGGCGGCTGGAGCGGCGGAAGGGCAAAGCAAGCGGAGCGGGCGGAGCGGGGTCATTTGATTGGGTCTAGAGGCATAGGGCCAGGGGCCATGGGGCCAGGAGCCACAAAGTAGGGGGTTGGCTGTTGAAGCATGGAGACACTGGGGCCATGGCGCCAGGAGTCATGGGGCCATGGAGGCATGGGTCCATGGGGGCCATGATGGAGGGCGGGTGGAGTGGGGGAAGGGCGGAGCAAGCGGAGCGGGCGGAGCGGGCGGGCATGCACTGGAGCCCTTTAAAGTCTTTTGATTGGGTCTAGAGGCATAGGGCCTGGGGCCGGGGCCAGGGGCCACAAAGTAGGGGGTTGGCTGTCGAAGCATGGGGACATTGGGGGTCATGGCGCCAGGAGCCATGGAGGCATGGGTCCATGGGGGTCATGGCGGTCGAGGGCCATGGAGGGCGGGGAGCGGAGGAAGGGCGGAGCAAGCGGAGCGGGCGGGCATGCACTGGGCCCTTAAAGTCATTTGATTGGGTCTAGAGGCATAGGGCCAGGGGACCATGGGGCCATGGGGCCAGAACCCACAAAGTAGGGGGTTGGCCGTCGAAGCATGGAGACATTGGAGGCCATGGCTCCTGGCCCATGGTCGAAGGCCATGGAGGGCCGGTGGAGTGGGGGAAGGGCGGAGCAAGCGGAGCGGGCGGAGCGGGCGGGCATGCACTGGGGCCCTTTAAAGTCATTTGATTGGGTGCAGAGGCATAGGGCCAGGGGACCATGAACCCATGGGGCCAGGAGCCACAAAGTAGGGGTTGGCCGTGGAAGCAGGCCATGGAGGCATGGGTCCATGGGGGCCATGGAGGTCGAGGGCCATGGAGGGCGGGTGGAGCGGGGGAAGGGCGGAGCAAGCGGAGCGGGCGGAGCGGGCGGGCGTGCACTGGGGCCGTTTGTCATTTGATTGGGTCTAGAGGCATAGGGCCAGGGGACCATGGGGCCATGGGGCCAGGAGGGGTTGGCCGTCGAAGCATAGACACATTGGGGGCCATGGCGCCAGGCGCCGTAAGGCCATGGAGGCATAGGTCCATGCAGGCCATGGGGGTCGAGGCCATGGGGCCATGGAGGCATGGGTCCGGGGGCCATGCAATTCGAGGGCCATGGAATGGAGGGCGGCGCAAACAGAGCGGGCGGAGCGGGCGGGCACGCACTGGGGCCCTTTAAAGTCATTTGATTGGGAGTAGGGGGTTGGCCGTCGAAGCCGAAGCATGGAGACATTGGGGGCCATGGCGCCAGGAGCCATGGGGCCATGGAGGCATAGGTCCATGCGGGCCATGGAGGCATGGGGGCCATGCAATTCGAGGGCCATGGAGGGCGGAGCAAGCAGAGCGGGCGGAGCGGGCGGGCATGCACTGGGGCCCTTTAAAGTCATTTGATTGGGTCTAGAGGCATAGGGCCAGGGCATGGCGCCTTGGGGCCAGGAGCCACAAAGTAGGGGGTTGGCCGTCGAAGCCGAAGCATGGAGATATTGGGGGCCATGGCGCCAGGAGCCATGGGACCATGGAGGCATGGGTTGGGGGCCATGGGGGTCGAGGGCCATGGAGGGCGGATGGAGCGGGGGAAGGGCGGAGCAAGCGGAGCGGGCGGAGCGGGCGGGCATGCACTGGGGCCCAAGTCATTTGATCGGGTCTAGAGGCATAGGGCCAGAGGGGACCGTGGGGCATGGGGCTGGGGCCATGGGGCCAAGGATGGGGGTGCACTGGGGCCCTTAGCCATTGCTGGCCATGGGGCCAGGAGCCATGGGCCATGGGGGCCATAGGGGCCGAAGGGATGGGGCCATGAGGAGTGGGAAGGGAGGGCGGCATGCACTGGGGCCCTTTATGGGGCCAGGAGCCATGGGTCCCTTTAAAGTCATCTGATAAAGTCATCTGATCGGGTCTGGAGGCATAGGGCCAGGGGGCCATGGGGCCATGGGGCGGGGCGGGGGGGGGTAGCGGGGTTGGGGGGGGTGGTGAGATAGCCATGGATGGGGGCCAGCATGGAGGTCTGGAAGGTAGTATAAAAAGCAGTGGGTCTTCACTGACGCCGCCCCCGGCTGGGGTCGGCGGATTCTTCCTTATTAAGGGTAATGTAGGGATTACCATTTGTTTTTTTCTTTTGGGGGTTCTTGAGCAAAGAGTAGTCTTTGTTTCCCGTGAACTTCGTGCTTCGGCTGCCACGAGCTCCGGAGGCCACGACGAAAGAAAACGACGCCTGGAAGCGCACCATGAAGCGAGAAGTCCAGCTGGGAGAAGCAAAGGAGCAATACAACCGGAACGTGAAGCAGTCCGAGCCTTATGGTTGTGCCTTATGGTTGTGCTTGCTGAGCCGGCCCGAGAGGGGCATCTCCCAAAAAAATTAGGGGGTACCCCTTTTATAGCCCTAATAGAACAGCATCCCCTTAAAGGGATCCCTACATAGGGTATCCCTAGGGTCGTAGAAGCCCCCGCATGTCCGTGACGTGTGTAAGGCTGGCAGTTGAGGAGGCAGAGCTGCGCAGTGCTACCTCCAAACTGCGGCAGAGCAAGGCACCGCACGTGCCTTTGCTTTGGAGCAACTTTAGCAGGGCCATTCGATGTGCATGACACGCTGCTTTGGGAATGGACTCTCTGCCGCTAGATTCTTTCAAGTGGTCAACATGTCCCTGCTTGTTTTGCGATTTCTCGCCCTTGCCCGAACAGGTCGTGAAGGCGCAGTCACTTGCTGGCTTTCTAGTAGCTACTGGTGATGGTGAAGCCTCAAATGCCCAAAGCTGGGTGGAGAACTTAAGGCAAGAACTCAACGCAGTCTTTCAAACGATGGTTTCTTCTATCTTGTAGACAGACCCTGGATGGGCTGGCATGTTCCCTGGGCATGGCAAGAGGAGGGTTTCTGCAGATGGGTTGTCTTTGTTTTCCTGCGCGTGCTTTTGTCCGCCCCCTCCCTCTGTTTGCAAGGGGGTTCGCGACAGGTTGGTGAAGAGGGGACAACGACGAAGCGATCCGAGCAGGTGTGATGAAGTCAGCTACCCTAAACCCTAAACCCTAAACCCTAAACCCTAAACCCTAAACCCTAAACCCTAAACCCTCACAAGGTTGGGCGTGGCTTGGTCATGCTCTCCGGCATCAGCATGCTCCTCTTCTGCGCATGGTTGTAGCTTGCGAAGATTCCTTCATGGCTTGTCAGCGAGAAGGGGGGCGACGAGCACGAACTGGCCCTGACAACTCCTCCTGGCGCCGGCATGCCCGATGGTTGGCGGCTCAAGGCTTAGACATGCAGGAGGTTGCGCAAGACCGAGTTGCCTGGCGAGGCCTGGCAGAGGGTTGGCTCACGCACTGGGCAGTGGAGAGATCCGCGGCGGGGACCAACGTTCTGCAGGTGGACGAGCAGTGCCAGTCGTGGAGTAGGAGATGTCTTCTAGGGGTTGCTGCACGGTCAAAGCCTGTGTTTGCCTGCATTGGTGGCCGCTGCTGTACCTTGGCATATCATCACAGGGTGCGCGGCTGGGTGGAGCACGAATCTGAGTGGCCTTGTCCTGGGGCTGGCACGCTCTTGGGTCGGCTGAAAGATCTCGTAGCAACGGAGCTCAAAGTTGTGCATGTCCGCCTTTTCTTGCACTTTCATGTCGAGATTGAGTTGGAGTGGCCCACTGCCTTTCGACCGCTTTGGAGCGGGGAGATGCATGTAGTGGTCGAGTGGAGCCGGCTTCCTTCCAGCTGGCTGTATTTGATGCCGGAGGCCTTTGCGCGAGCGCGCGTGTGATGTGATTAGTCATTCCCCGAGGTTTCTTAGCTTGAGTGAGGCTTCACTGAGGCTAGCCTGAAATGTTGGCATGGCCCTCAGAGTTGCTCACCTTTTGCATCGGCAGGCCTGGGAGGGTTTTGCGGTTTCGGCCTCGGGGGTTCGGGTTCGTGGTCTTGTTTGGGTTGGGGTTGGTGTTTTGGGGCTTTGCGGTTTGCGGTTTGGGTTGTGGGGTTCTGGGCTTTTTGGGGTGCTGGGGTTTTGGTGTCCTGGGCTTGCGGTGCAGACTTGTGTTTCACGTTGGCGCCCGATATTCGCTCTTTGGAGATGGTGCTGCAGAAACCCTAAACCCTAAACCCTAAACCCTAAACCCTAAAGTATGCGTCACAAGAGCTGAGAGGAACCCGCTTCAGAGCGAAGCGGTGCCCTCTCCAGGCGGAAGAACTTCCATGTCTTGGGATGTTCCCCCTTCTACTAACAGCTCCTTAATAGGGAATCTACTACCCTCCCCTATTTATAATGCCTAGTAAGGAGCTGTTAGCATGAGGGGGGAACATGCCAATCCATGTCTTTTTGAGAACCGAGAGCTTCCACATGCATGTTTGGCAGGTATGCTGGCTGGCTTACGGCCATCGCCCTGAGCTTCATAGTTTCGTAAACGTCGAGAGAAGCTGGTGTGTTCAGAGTTTCACAACAGAGAGGCTAGGAGGAGCAGCAAAGCACCTGCAACAAGAAGCTGAGTGCGGCCTTGATGCCCACAGCGTGGGGGTAGGGCTTGGGGGGGCGCCATTCGAATGAGCAATGCATCCTGACTCTTTTCGGCTCCTCTTTCCGATGCTTTTCCCCCCTCCACCTGCCTGAGACTTGTTGTTGCCCGGCTCCGAGTCGGCGTGGAGCTCGGCACACATTCGGGTTTGTGGCTTAGGGTTTAGGGTTCAAGAGTCCCACCTCAACATGCAGCGCTCAGCCGCTCAAGATTGTGAAGATACTTTCCTGACAGTTCACGATTGCTGAGTGCCAGCTGCAGGCTTGCGTTTGCCGAGTCACAAGCTATGGCGGAGAGCGCCATGCGCTCACATGAGCTCACTCTGGCCTAGTGCGTTTGTGCCACTGCCGCGGGCTGCCGACAAGCCAGCCGAGAGAACTGAGGAGAAGGTGGAAGAAAAGGCACAGGAGAAGACGGAGGAACCGAAGACGGAAGAGAAGGTGCGCAAGACCTTCCTAACATATTCGTATGCAATATATATATATATATATACATATATATATATACACATTTGTGTACGGTGACAACACGACACGAAACATAGGTCCACGGGAGCTGGGGCTAGCATTTATTCACATATATATATATATATAAGTACAATTAATTCTATATATATATATACATATACATTATATACATATATATATATGTATACACATTAGATACATATATATTGTTGTATACATGCGTGTGTGTGTGTGTGTGTGTGTACACAGACTTGGCAGCACTTGCAGGCCAAAGCTGATGGCGCGCCTGCCGAGAAGCGAAAGGCTTCTTGATGCCGTCAGTTAAGGAATTTGTGGTTTAGGGGTTAGGGTTTAGGGTTTAGGGTTTAGGGTTCAGGGTTTAGGGTTTAGGGTTTGGGGTTTAGGGTTTAGGGTTTCGGGGGCTTCCGAAGGGAAAGATGGGAGCCCTTTCTGTTGGGGTTCCTATAACAAGGGCGGTTGTTAGGGTTCTGCTTCCACAATCATGTTTGACAACCAGCCCTAATGTACGGAATATGGCTTAATTCAGATACCTTCACCGCTCAATGCTTATAGGACCTTCGCAACTGACTGCCTTAGCACGTGTGAGTCAGGAATCAGGGGGCGCAGAGGCAGATTCCAAGCGCCTGAAACCGACACCGCCGGATCCTGCGGTAGTCCGGAAGCAGGCTATGACTGCCTTGAAGTGTCTGTTTGATGTCTTGTTTCGAGTTGTTCCTGTCACAAGAGGATCTTGTTGCCACACCACGCAGGTGGAATACTACTTGAGCGACGAGAACCTCAAGTACGACAAGTTCTTCCACGACAAGATCTCGGGAAATGCTGACGGATGGCTCGATGCTCGCTGACATCTTAACCAGACGTTCACATGAGTTTCATGCCCTCTCGCCTGGCAATGTTTTGCACTGTTGCGGCTATACGGTTTGCTTGCCCAGGCTTTTCGTAAAAGTCGGTCCATTCGCGCTGGATAACCCCTCATTACAGGGTAGGGGGCCCGAGGACGGACAAGGCGAAGCGCCCAAAAACACAAGAATCAATTGTGAACCCGACTGGAAAAATGGTTGAAGCAGCCTGCCTTACACAAAACCGAGATGCAACAAGGAACGGGGGACCCAAATACCAATGTTGAGATGGGTTTTGGGGACTGGGCGCCTTGAACTGAAGCGCCAAGACATAGGTTTCTGGGGGCTTGTAATCGTGTAGTCTCGCGTAACCCTTTGTCAGCCAAGGACATGAGCTTCATCCTGAGTTGCAACAAAATGAAGTCGATGCGAGCTGGCAAGGTTGGGACCACGTCTCGGCTTAACATGTCACATATTATTCTGCGAATGCACGCTGCACGACCCGCCTCGGCAACAATCCCCACGCCAGGACCAGCAAGGCCTCACAGAACCATCGGTGTCCTACTATTTGCCTAATACCTACAAAAGCTTCAAGGATAGTAATCCCTATATTGCCGTTATAAAGAATATTTTCATTTTTCGGGGGGGTTCTGAAGCAGTTCCTAGTGCCTGTATGACAATGTAGCATCAACAGTCCTTCTTGATGGTCGGCCCCAAGTGCCCCGTGGTCCTCCCGGACACCTGTTGGCTAAGGGGGGGTATACCCACTCCAAGCAAAACATGCTACCAAATAAAGGACGGAAGTCTAAAGTCTCCAGTCCAGCCCCCAGGCAAACTTCAGCACAGGGCCAGGGCAGGGGATCAGGGTAGGGCGGGGCCTCGGCGAACCTGTTCTGTAATTGTCATCATGATTGCTGCTTAAAGCAATTTTCAGAAACATGATACGACCAGCATGATTCATGCTGGTCAGCTGTGGGCCGCCTTTAGGCTGCCTTGATTTAGTTTTCAGCTGATGGAGGAGGATGTGGTGGCTGCGCTGAAAGAGTCCAAGATCGAGCTGAACGAGGTGTGGTCACCGGTGTGCTCTCTCCGAAGCCATGTTTGGTACCGTGGTACGGTGGTTGCAGCGCAAGCTCAGCACCCGCTCTGCTGAAGCTCCATGCAGGGCAATGCAGCAGTCCGCCGACCCGGCAATGCCCCATTGTGACTGCCTCAGCGTCACCCAAGGGTAGCCTTAGAGAGAACCCGAAGGGATTCCGAGCGAGGTACCTGTGTCGTCTCAGTACCGTAGTCTTAGCACGGCTTATCTGGACAGTTTGAAAGGGCATCAGCGCTGCTTCGTAGGCAACGTATGTGGCTTTGTTTCAGTGGGCGAACCCTAAAAGGGTTTTGGGTTCATGTAGCCTAATAAGGATTAGAGTAGTAGTATAGGGTACATGGTCCCAATTTTAGGAATCATTTGTTTTTTTTTTGGGTCCCAGGCCGAAGCTGGAGTCGAGGCGCCTCGCAGGGGAAAGGTGATTGCCCGGGAGCGCTGAACCCTAAACCCTAAACCCTAAACCCTAAACCCTAAACCCTAAACCCTAAACCCTAAACCCTAAACCCTAAACCCTAAACCCTAAACCCTAAACCCTAAACCCTAAACCCTAAACCCTAAACCCTAAACCCTAAACCCTAAACCCTAAACCCTAAACCCTAAACCCTAAACCCTAAACCCTAAACCCTAAACCCTAAACCCTAACCCTAAACCCTAAACCCTAAACCCCGCAGCAGGCCAAGCCATCCCCAGAAGAAGAACTCCATCCATGCACACGACGGCCCACGACTGAGAGGGAAGAGCCGAAGCTGGTGGTGTTTTCCACTTTGGCATGTTATACCCTAAGCCCTAAACCCTAAACCCTAAACCCTAAACCCTAACCCTAAACCCTAAACCCTAAACCCTAAACCCTAAACCCTAGACCCTAGACCCTAAACCCTAAACCCCAAGGTGGTGTCGTGGCCATGTTCCGCGGCATCCCGGAGGAGCAGCAGTGGACACAGGTCAAGGCAGCCGTTCAGGCCGGGTCCTCCCAAGGTCTTTACGAAGACAAAGAATGAAAAGCAAGATAGCGTTTAGGGTTTAGGGTTTAGGGTTTCGGGTTTAGGGTTTAGGGGTAAGATCGTAGTAATACAGTAGGAGAGTAGTATTGCAATATTTTGAGACTGTAATACAAGAGTGAGATGTGACTCTACAATGCGGTAGTAGAGCAATATCGCAACACTATGAGACTATACTACAATAGTGACATGGTTATGCAGCAATAGAGTCATGGAGCAATACTATGAGATGATGATGCAATAGTACTATAGTACCACTGCCACTGTCAGCCCTGGCAGGAGAAGCTCCCTGCCAAGGTCAACTTGTGGCACGTCAGCCAAGTAAGCGACAAGAACGACCCCAGGCTGAGAGAGAGAGCTTCTGGCAGTCAGAAGAGCTATATTTCGAGGAGTTGGTTCTATATAACATACACAAAGGATGCAAAGAAATGACGTCGGTGTATGGTGTACATGGTCTGTTGGCTGCTGCGATTGTCGGAGCCCCTTTGCCGAGGAATGCGCCCTGGCTTGTGCGCCTTTTGACGGGGACGTGCCGTTCTTTGAGGGCCTCACAATTGAGCGCCCGGACGCAGAAAAGGTAGGTGAGGAGCGTCAAGAGAGCTTGAGGGGAGAACTGGGAGTGATTGAACTACCGTAGGAGCTATAGTACTATGTTAATCTAGCAATACACTAACATGGTAGCATTATCTCATTCATATAGTCATACAGTAATATCGTACTCGTAAAAAGCACACAACCTTTTTTCTTTCATCAGAGGCTTGGTGGAGCCTCTTTGAAGTGCGAGATTTGCTTTGCCGACGTTCTGCAGAAGGCATCGATGGCCCGACACGATGTTCTGTGGCAGTTTTGCGACTTTGGGCCCGAGCTCCTCACCTATTTGCTGAAGAGCCCCCCCCCCCCCCCCCCTCCAAAAAAAAAAAAAAGAGTAGTAGTCCCTATATATTGCCCTTATGAGGAAGGAAGAATAGTAAACCCTCAGCCCTAAGCCCTAAGCCCTAAGCCCTAAACCCTAAACCCTAAACCCTAAACCACTTTTCTATTCCTTGGCTCCTGGCAGGCGCTCAAAGACATGCCGAAGCACATCAGGGACAAGAGGGTGCGCGCGGCTGCACGGCCTTGAGGCTTCTGGCTCCCAAGCCTTCAACCCGTGCTGCACACGTGCGCCAGGAGCGTGAGTCGCGCAAGAGGCAGAAGGAGCGAAATCGACCCATCAAGCTGGGGACCTGCCAGTTTAACAACGTCGCGATGCTGCGGGGTCGAGTGAAGGAACCTTGGCCCTGAGTCGGTGAGATGGCTGCGTTTCAGGGAGGGCTTCGTGGCACGGCGTGGCGTTGAGTTTTTTCGTGTAGGAGCTGTTCGCAGTGTGGTACCGAGGAGATCCTCAACTCGCGCAGTGATGGAGAACAGCTGAAGCCGGATGGGAGTGACTTCAAGCTCATCAAGAGCCTGCTGGAATTCCATCCGAGTGGACCAGGCAACAGCTGCCTCCCAAGGGATGTAACACAATACATACTAGCACAGAAATATCGTAGTTTTGTAACATAGTTTTGTACGAATATGATTCTATAATACTGGAGTATAGTATATAGTTTTGTATCACCATGATTCCAGAAGACTAGAAGTACTAGACCAGTAAAACGAGGGCTCAGCCCACCAGATCCTAAACCCTAAGCCCTAAACCCTAAACCCTAAACCCTAAACCCTTAACCCTAAACCCTAAACCCTAAGCCCTAAACCCTGAACCCGAAACCCTAAACCCGACCACAGGGAAGAGCGAGGGCTTGGTCGGCATCAAGGTCGGGAAGAGCCACCAGGGCGACAGCCGCCGCTCTTTCGCACCAGGGTATAGGCTACAACAGTCGGTGCTGCTTGGGAAGTCTGACATAAGGGTTAGGGTTTAGGGTTTAAGGGTTGAGGGTTTGCGGCACCCTAGACACTTTGTCCTAAGCCCAAAATATTCCAGCGCCCCGCCCCCCCAGGATGTTTCTACATGATCAAGGAGGGCGGCAAAGAGGCCCCGGTATCAAGGGCTGGCGTTGTCGATTGCGGCTTCCAAGCTCCTCCAAACTTGGGATGTGCAACAGTCCGAAGGGCGCTCTTCTTGACAGGGCCAGGATGGGCTGTTAGGCCCGATAATCCCTATACATCCCTATACTCAACCCTGTCAAGGGCCCATTCAAGGGGGTTATGGGGTATAATAGCCCCATGGTGGGGTGGTTTAAGAAAAACCGAGTGCTAGTTTTCCTGGTGGCTCGTGTGTGGGGGAAGCAGTCGGCTTGCACTCGGAGTTGATGCCCCTGGGTTTAGGGTTTGGGGTTTAGGGTTTAGGGTTTAGGGTGGCTCCGACGCGCCAGGAAGATTTCAGTGCAAAGAAGTGCTTGGATGCTGTTGAGCAGCGCCTTGGGTTGAACTGCGCCTTGCGCCGTTGCTTTGGGGTCTGACACGCAGCTCACCTAAAGAGCCTAAAGGAGTCTTCCATCGGCAGCTATGAACAGTGCCAAAGAGGTCATACCCCCCCACACCCTAAACCCTAAACCCTAAACCCTAAACCCCTGGCACCTTCTGCGCCAAGGAAGCCGCCTTACGTGCAGCCAGAGGAGAAGCCAGCAGGCAGGGAATTTTGAAAGGGTGGAGTCGTCCTGATTTGAGATGTTCCTCCTTATGCTAACAGTCCTTAATCGGGAGTCTGGTAAGGGGGTACTAGAATCCCTCTTAAGGAGGTGCTAGCATAAGGGGGAACATCCCAAGCTCTGATGCCGCACGCCCGGATTCCGACTTGCCCAGAGACTCCAAAACCCCTTAATTAAGGAATATGCCTTAAATTCGAATAGGAACCCTAATATGATTTAACAGATATTCCTTAATTCAGGGGTTTTGGAGTCTCTGGGTGTCACCGCAGGCGACAAGAGGGGCCAGGCAAAGGCCGCCCCTAAAGGAGCCGCGAAGCCCGAGGAGGCCAAGGCAGACAAGAAAGAGGAGGCCAGGAGCTGCCAATTGTGACCCCTCAAATAATAATAATAATAATAATAATAATAGTAATAATCAATAATAATAATAATAAGAAGAATAATAATAATGGGAACCCTACAAAGGGTTTCTGGCTCATAGGTACCCTACTATAGGCATCATAGTCGTATAGGGTATGGGCGAAGAAAGAAGGCATGCATTCCCATCCTCAACCTGGAAAAAAGCCCCAACAAGTCTCCCCTTGGGGTCCGAAAACCCTCTGAACCCAAACGAGGAGAAGCCCGCGCCTGCCGAGCAGGCCGGTCATGGGGGTGATAGGAAGGTCTTGCCCAGAGACTCCAAAACCCCTTAATTAAGGAGTATACCCTTAAATTCGAATAGGAACCCTAATATGATTTAACATATATTCCTTAATTCCTTAATTAAGGGGTTTTGGAGTCTCTGGGTGGGGGCTGATCGGGAACGGAGACGTGTTTTTTTACGAGCCTTGTAAGTCGCCAAAAGCAGCTCAGGGAAAGGGGGTGGTGGGCTTCTGTTCTCAAACGCATCTTGCAAGAGGTCCGAGCCATGCGCAGAAGTAAGCTTTGCAAAGATGGCCCCCTTCTCTCAGGAGAAGCCTGCAGAGTCGGCTGCCGACAAGGCCCGAACTCCGAAATGTCTGACACGCCTATGCATGCCTGTGTTGCATGTTCCTTGGCTTGAGCTGCTCATGGACTTGCTCTGAGACAGGGTAGTGAAGCAAAGCCGGACGGTGAGTCGTGAAGGCAGGTGCTGAAGAAAGCACTGAGCTGCTGTGAAATGTTCACGACACATGATCAGTCAAGAAAGCCTTGAAGCAATACAGTCTCAATTTGTTTCGGCTGCCGTTGGCCAAGAGGACAATGCACGCATGGAATGAGGGCGGGGTGGTGAGTGGGTGTCACGCAGAATTCGGCATCCGTCCTGCTCCTGACGCATCGTCCGTTCTACAGAAAAGGGGGCTCGCCGGGCACGAGGAGGATTAGGTGGGGGGTCGGATTTCCCCCCCCCCCCCCCCTACTGACTCCCCTAGCAATCTGGGACTCGCAGGACCTCTGGGCCCCCAGGCCACACGAAAGGAAGCACGAGAGAGAGAGCAGAAGAAGAGGAGGGGGTTGCGTACGCAAGAACCTGAATAAACAATTCGTCAGTGCAAATTCTTGGACCGACCTGACCCTCAGGACATGTCACATGCCCCGGAATGCAGGGATGTTATGGGGCCCCCGCTTGCTGAAATTGGTTGGGTGTACCAGGTGACAGGCTGTGCTGATCTGCAGTGAGTAGCTGCATGTTAGCTGCAATTGGACTTGCCCTCCGCAAAGCGGGGCCTCATCGCAAGACGCCTTCTTTCAAGGTGCTGATGTCAAGTTTCCTCCAAGCGCGGAGCAGGATAATGTAAGCTAAGTGAAGGGGCAGCATAGTCTATATGTTCGCGTGCTGGGCCAATGCTTCAGTCTCCACGGGCTTCAGTAGCAACGTGGGGTTTTACCCCATCCGCACGATCTGATGCTTTCGCATGGTTAGACTTGTACAGATCAAATGGGCTCCCGTCAAAAAGATTGATCTTCAGGTTCGTGAATCCTGGAGAGAAGGCATGCATGCTTGGCATGTGCCTATTTTGGAATGGAGCATTACACCCGGCCAGCTGGCTCGCAGTGAGTGGGTGGGATCATAACCCCAGTGCAAGGCAATAGTCAGGACCCCGCATATTCTTCCCAAAGGCTGGGCAACAGAAGGGACTGCTGTTGCGCGAAACCGTGCTGGGCATCAAAGCTTGGCCCCCAGTGTTCGCACGAGGTACGTGCAGGATTCTGGGTGTTTCAGAGAAAGAGGACCCCCTAGTATAGATCCACAACTAATAGCAACCCTTTTCAACAAGCAATCCTTTTTTTAAATAGGACCTGGGAAGGTATCCCTGATTCCCGAAGCCCCCCCCCCCACCAACAATTGTGGTGGCGGTTTCAGGTCGTGTGCGCAGCTGGCCGCTCCTTCCACTAGGCCAATGGACCGGCCGAGCGATGCTGAGGCACAGTAGCTGAATGTAGGGTTTAGGGTTTAGGGTTTAGGGTTTAGGGTTTAGGGTTCTTGTGTGGAAGGCTGCCCGATGGAGACCAGCTGTGCGAAGCTTAGACGCGAGAATTTGACATGCACTCGGCTGGCGGAGCGTCGTGCCATGAACTTGCAACAAGGTCGGCGACAGGGTGTACGCCTGGTTCTATACAGAGCCTCGACCTTGTCCTTTGCGAAGTTGAGTGGCAGCGTGCAGCTTTGGGATTTGCGGGCCGGTAGTTGAGGTGGCACACCGCCAAAGTTTGAGCCCTGGGTCGCTACTGTGCAGAAGGAGGTGCTGCATGCCTGCATTGCGAGAGGTGCGACGAGTGTTCGAGCACGAGGGGGACGAGAAGGCATGAACCTCGCAACGCCGGTATTTTGAGGGAATAATTGCCTTGAGTCCTCCCCGCTCTGATGCTTCAAGGGCCGGCAAGACTGTGGCAGGCTGAAGTACTCTGGGAGACAGAGTTCTCGACCAGTCCACTCCTCGGCATGTTCCGGAGAGCTTTCCTAGGTAGGATAAGGGGGACCCTTGAAAGGGAACACTTCTTAACCCTCTTCTGGCTCTCTTAAACAGGGACCTTGTTCAGAGGGTCTATATCCCCAAGGGTCCCCCGAATCCTATCCCCTAAGCTTAGAGAAGGAGTTGCCTGCGACCGGCACTTAGGCGAGCTGTCACTGAGTTGGCTGGCGCCGATTCCGGCCACGTGCGCGTTCCTAGTTTCAACACTTCTTGGCAAGCACTGTGCAGTTGTGTGATCGCGAGCACCGACTGGCAGCGCGCAGACCCTGCAGCAGTGTTTCAACACCTGTTGTGCCATAACCCTGGCAGGCGAGAGGCTGCAGATCCCTCGACAAAGATCAGCGCGGCAGGCACATGGCTGTTCATCAAGAGTTCCGGATTCAACGAAATAACATGGGGGTTTACGAAGATAAGGGATCCCTCATATAGACAAAATAGTGGGAATCCCCTTATAAGCAGGATACCCTTATTCTTTCGGAAGCCCCTACATAAAAAAATATTACCGTTGGATTTGCAGGAAGCCCCTCTGCCGCAGCGGGCCAGCCAGCATCTCAGAGCGATCCTCTCTGTGTACCAGCAAAGAGACTAATGTCCTGAAGATATGGTCAGTTCTCATCATTGTGGTCCCTTTTTGGGTGCCCCTAAATATTCGGGGCCGCCTCGTAAATAGGACCCCAAGCGGAAGCATAATTTAGAGAAGCAGCGTTCGCATTCAGAGTTCAGTTCTGGGTTTTCAACACTGGAGGCCCCACCTGAAGACAGACTTCCAGGAAGTCCCGGCCGGCCAAGCATGCTTTCTCAGAGCGCTAGATCCAATTCCACGCGTCCCATCGGCCGTAGATGCCTCTGCCGGCTCGGTGCAGGTGGCGGCACCGCCCGGCCTCGAGGGTTTCGAGGGTGCAGATCTTGGAGAAGACGCATGCACTCGTAGGGCACAGAAGGTGGCCATTTAAGGTCAAGCTGCGGGTCTGCCGGCTTCTGTCTCGCACTCAGCTGCAAGCTGGTCCGCTTCGTACTGGGCCTAGGGGTGGGGGATGTGCAACCTTAGCTCAGAATGGTCATCCTGCAGATAGAAGTCGACATGCGGGTCCGACATGCGGATCCGAAGTCGGCGATGCTCAGTGTCTGGTGCGAATTAGGTTGTATAGTGTTCTTTGCTCCGATATCCATACCCAAGGGAGCTGGAAACCATGCTGCAAGTCCACACCTCCTGCATTCTTTACAGGTGATGAATGCGCCGCCTGCGATGCCCCCACCGCCGATGCTTAGCTGCAGCTTGACGTGGGTCACTGCCAAGAGACGCGTCTGTTTGATGCGCTCTCAGCCTGTCTCGAGCCGAGGGCGCCACACTTGGCCCATGCTGCCTGTGCCCGCCTCAGCACTCGCTGAAGCATCTCCTGGCACAAATGCCGGGCATCGCCATTCGTTGCGGACCTTTTGTCGCACCTTGTGTGCACCATGCAAGACTCTTTGAGCTACAGGGTTGAAAGCGCCTTCTTGTACCTGTAGGTGCAGCACAGCCAGCAGAACGGCCAGCGCAATCAAACGTGCCACCAACAGCGCCACCAACGGCGCCGCCAGCTTACGCACCCAACGATCGACACCAAGCTGCTGTGCCAGCACCCACGACACTGACTACACAAGCCGCACGGGTTGCAGCGCCCGCGCCCAGTGCACCCACCACGCCAGCTGTGCCAACTGCGCCAGTTGTGCCGGCCGGGAGCTTGAGCATGGTTGAGCCATTGAGCGGAGTGTATGACCAGTGACAGGTGGAATGTGAGCCGCGCCGCATGTGGGTCTGAGAGGTGGCTGCAGCCAGAAAGACAAAGACAAACGCGAGCCAAAGTGGCTCGGCTTGATGGGTGGGATCCCAGTGTGCTGACAGCATGCATTTAGGCATATTCACATATATATATATATATTATACACATGCTCTTGTCTTATCTCCAATACATCTTATTATGCAATTCATTGTAACATAGCATTTTGCGCACAATCTAGTTTTGACATACAAACCCATAAGCCATCACAAGACAGGCGACGTCGAGCTCCGCGAGCTCCGGGGCTTCTGCGACCGATGGGGGCCTGAGCCTTGGAGTTCCTGCAGGGCTCCTTTGCCCCCCCTGAACACACTGAACTGCGCACGTGTGTTCTTCTCTTTCTTAGGGTTTAGGGCTTAGGGTTGAGGGTTTGGGGTTTGGGGTTTGGGTTTGGTTTAGGGTTTAGGGTTTAGGGTTGAGGGTTTGAAGCAGCTTCCAGGTTCAAGAACGGGTTTAGGGTTTACGGTTTACGGTTTAGGGCTTGGTTTTTGTCGCACCCGCCAGGTTTGAAGAGAACACCCGAAAGTATCTTGCGGGCCTTCCGGCGAAAGTCCAGAAGGCGCCCTGGCAGCAAAGATTTCCGCGGAAGGGTTTAGGGTTTAGGCTTTAGGGTTTAGGGTTTAGGACCGAACTTACTTGGAGGTTTTTGGGTACTTAAACCCCCCAATTATGACCGCACGTCGTGTACGCCCCTCCCAAGTCCTTAGACTTATGCTGAACCTCCAACTACCGTATGCAGTCAGAACTAGATGTTCGTTTGGCTCCGACCAAGGTCGTGATAAACCATTTTGAAGCACCATCGACTGTACAGTGCCGGGCGCCTAGCAACAAAACTCGGACAAAGGGACATGTGCCTTGGGATGCTCCCCCTTATACTAACAATCCTTAACAGGGACCATGGTACCTTAGGTATCTTAGGTTCTAATCCCTATGAAGGACTCTCAGTATAAGGGGGAACCTCCCAACATGTACCCGCAACAGAGGCAGCGGCCTCCCTTGTGTGATCTTAGGTGTGGATGCCCTGGTGCATAACTACGCCAGGAGCATACTGCTCAAACATGGATACGCCCGACCCTCAGAGCATCGGAAGTCCGTTATAAGGGATGCTCCCCGTATTCTAACACCCAGATCCCCCCCCTTTAGTAGAATCCCTGTTTAGGTTAGTATAAAGGGGAACCATCCCAACCCATCCTACCTAAACCCTAAGCCCTAAACCCTAAACCCTAAACCCTAAGCCCTAAACCCTGAACCCTAAACCCTAAACCCTAAACCCCAAACCCTAAACCCTGGGTTCTTCTTTCTGCAGGCTGGAGGGTTAGAGTTGCCGAGTGTGTCACCTGAGCCTACTAGGGCTCGGCTACGCGGACTACTGACTGAGTGCCTCGCTGGGTTCGTCCTAAACCCTAACCGAACCCTAAACCCTAAACCCTAAACCCTAAACCCTAAACCCTAAACCCTAAACCCTAAACCCTAAACCCTAAACCCTAAACAAAACCCTAAACCCTAAAAACCTCGCAGGAGGATCTGGACATGGACCAGTTCGTGGCACGTTGGTCCTTCCGCCCTGCCACCTGTTGTGTAGCATGATGTGGGGATTGTTAGGGTATCTATCTTGGGGTTCCGATGAGGAAGGATTAGGGTATTTGGGGAAAGAAGGGGTGCGCCTAGCTTGGCTCTGACTGCACAAGAGATCCCTCAAACTCTGGCAAATCTTGAGTTCTCGGCCGTGCTCACAATGTCGCCACCTAAAGTTCAGGACCCCCCCCCTCCCCGCCCCCCACCCCCAACAGAAATCGAAAGAGGACGCCCTATAAAGAGAACCTGTTGGCTTGTCTGGCTCCGCAGCTCTTGGATCTCAAGTGTCCCAGTTCTCCATCGTGCAATGCACGGCGATTTTGTCGTTTGCTCGGACTTCGGGGGGTTGTAAGGTCGTGCGAGGCAGAGGGGCGAGCACTTCACCGTTTCGTGGGCTTCTGGAAGGCTTGGGATAAACAGCAACGTCCCAGCAAAGGGTCCTCCAAGCATCTGGACTGCCTAAGCCAGAAGCTGCTGTTTGTAAAGGCTTCAATTGATTTAAGACGTCCCCTCCAGCGTCGGCCCTCACCGCGGCGCAGTGGCAGTAAGACTCAGGCACCGTTGCAACGCGTTGCTTGCTTCATGGCCCACATTCGGCTTGCTGGGAAGGGCAGAGCTGTTCTGAGTCGGTAAAACCAGGGGCAGCAACAGTGGTAGTGCCGCGTCCAGCAAGCGGTAGCAGCAAGCGGACGAGACTTTATCCATTTCCTTGCCTGGGCTCCGCCGCCATTCGCGGCTCATCTCAGAGGGCGGGACGCCACAGGGCCTCCCAAAGGTGGGAACATTCAGAGGGAAGGTCTGTTCGGGCACGCCTAGCTTGAGGTGGTGAGAGTCGAAACTCCCAAGACGTCGAAACCCTAAACCCTAAACCCTAAACCCTAAACTTTAAACGCGTCGCCCTGCAGGCCATGGAGGACGCCAAGCGACCGGTCTTTGGGGCCGAGGCGGAGCGCGGCTTGGATGCGGAGCCACCTGCAGGGGAACGGGAAAATGCAAATGGGCCAAGGAGGTCGTCACGAGTATTGGCGAGTGAGTTACCGACCCATAAAATTCCACATTCCTTAGTTCGTGCGAAGGCACCATAACCAAATGCTGAGCTTTTTCTGCTGGAGCCGAGGTATCGGCACCCGATTGGATGAGGCAACCGATGAGTTCCTTAAGGCACCAAATGCCTCGAGTTTTTTTTTTCTCGCTCGCGCTCTCTCTGTCTCTCTCTCTCTCTCTCAGGGTTGAAGGTGTTCCAGTCGCACCATTCGCATGATTCATGGCAGGAAACCAAAAGCTGCAGAGCTCTGCAGATCCCACCAGGGCAGGATCAGTTGACAGCAATGGAGCCGCTCGGCGGCCCGCAGCGGGAAGCAGAGCATTCTCTGGTAAGCGTTCTGCCCAATGTCTTTGTCCGAGGTTTGTGGCCTATTTGGGCATCAACCTTCAGCTGGAGCCAGAGCTGTCTTGGGTGGCGAGGGAGCCTTTGGCAAACAAAGGGTTTAGGGTTTTGGGGTTTAGGAACATATTTGTCACCTCCCGCCCAGCAGATCCTGACGTTTCTATGCATCTGCCGTGCAGAGTCGGATGGCCATGTTGTGTTGTGAGGAAATGCTCGCCGCTCCCATGCCACCCCAAGCCGAGATGAAGGTGAGCAAGGTGCACCAGCCCAGCAAACTTCAAAAGCGGCTGTGGGGTGAGAGATATGTGGGTAGTGGGAGTAGTGGGAGATGTCTACTGCGCGAACTTCAGGCTGGCGTGTGCTACTTCCATGCCCCTGGGCTTGAAGAGGTTTAGTGGGCTGGTAGGCTGTTTCCTGCTAGGACGCGCCCGAGCTTGCAACCCTCAACCCGAAACCCTGACCCCCACGGCGGAGATTTCAGGACTTGCTCAACGATTACTACACGATTGAGCACCCCTTGACGCAGAGGCGGACAATCATTATATTATGAATAATATTCTACACAAGATTAACAAATATAAATGCTATCAATAGTATTACAAGTATGAAGAAATCAAAAAGCGATCTTAAAGGTTCTTGCCGCACCGACCGTCGAAAGCCCTGACTTCCTTTTGTCAGGTACCTCAAAGTCTTGGAGCGCCAGCGGCTGGATCTCCTGTGCCTGCGGACCAAGCCGTGCCTCGACGAGACCTGGGGTCCTTCTGAACCAAAGCCCGTAAACTCCTAAGCTCCTAAACTCCTAAACTCCTAAACTCCTAAACTCCTAAGCTCCTAAACTCCTAAACTCCTAAACTCCTAAACTCCTAAACTCCTAAGCTCCTGAACTCCTAAACTCCTAAACTCCTAAATCTCCTAAACTCCTAAACTCGTAAACTCCTAAACTCCTCAAAAATCCATGAAACTTCTATCTTCGGCCCTGTAGTAGCCTCGTAGCCCTAGCTTCTCAAGACCAGCAGGGCTTTTTCAAGATCTGCAGAATGTGTGGCCGGAGCTTTACACCCAAAGAGCCCAATACCCCTTAATTAAGGAAGATTCCTTAAATCATAATCAGGATCCCTTATCACGAAAGCTAGCTCCTTGGAGCTCGCGAGAGTTGTCGTTTACAAGAATTCTCTCTAGTGTTCAGCTGGGTCAAGAAGCGACTCCGACCCTTAAGTGGTTTGAAAATCAAAGAGATAAAGGGCTGTGGAGGGGGGGGGGGCCCCCTCCCCCCCCTTATAGGATTGACAAAATCAATCTTAAGGTGTCCCCCCCCCCCCCTCCTTTCAGGGTCGCCTTAATTGATTTCTGGGGAGGGGGGGGGGGCCCCCCCCCCCCCTTTTGGCCCCCCCACCCCCCCCCCCTTTTCAGGCTTCCCCCTCCGTCTTGGTCAGGCCCTGTTGTCGAGCTGTAAGGCCCCGGGATGAGCATTCGAATCCGCAGCTTCCGACAGCTCTTGACCGCTGCGTGTCCCATCATGTTTCGTTTTGCTTACACCGATTCGGCAGTCCCGTCCTGCTCGGCTGCGCTGCTGCGCCCGCACTTCTCCTGCCTGACTCGAAAAAAGCTTGCTTGTCAGCCGCGTTTCTAGCTTTCGTGGCCCCGATCTCAAGTAATTTAAGCTATATTCCTTAATTAAGGGGTATTGGGCTCTTTGGGCAAATGGCAGGTCCGTGAACGGCCTGCTCTTCTCGCAGCCAGACATGCTCTTCAACAAGCAGCCGGGGGCTGATTTTTCACATTTCTCTACCCGCTCCGCGCGTTCCACGCGCTCGAGCTCAAGGGTTTAGGGTTTAGGGTTTAGGGTTTAGGGCTCGCAAGTGCTCGCAGTGCTAAGGTTCCGCAACCTGCAGATTCCATGTCAGTCCTGTGGGGTCATGCAATCCACGCTCAAGTGCAACCAGCCACTCGGCATGAAAAGGGCGCGTGGGCCTGTCGTCGTTTCTTGCCGTGGAGGACTGTCCACCCTTTTTGTGCGCGAAGCAAATCAGTGCCCGGACTGAGGTGCCTCATGTCCTTCTGCCAATCTTGCGCCGACTCTCTGCACAAGAATGCGCTGGGCCCGAGGACCTGCTGTTGTTGCCAGCGCCCTGCGAGTGGTTGGAGCGTCGTGGAGTGCATGAGGGGTGTGTAGCGCAAGATAGCACCCCCTAAACCCCAAGCCTGCAAGAATTTCCTTCCACCTTAAGCCCCAAACCCTAAACCCACAAGCGTTTCCTTCCACCCTCGATCCCAAACTTTAAACTCCTAAACCTAAACCCACAAGCATGTCCTCCCTAAACCCTAAACCCTAAACCCTAAGCCCACAAGCGGTTCCTTTCACACAGCTTGGCTCAAGTTGGGTTGCTCGGCTTGGAGCGATGCCGGAACGCCGGGTGGACCCCGAGGACGGCAAAGCGTATACGTTTCTTGGCTCAGAGTTCAGTTTGGGTTTAGGGTTTAGGGTTTAGGGTTTAGGGTTTAGGTTTTAGGGTTTGGGGTTTAGGGTTTAGGGTTTAGGGCACGTCCTGATGCAAGAAAGGGGTTTGAGTTTCCCAAACTGGGGTTGCTTGCCTATGATCGGAATTGCCCATATCTGTGACAGTGCAGGTTAGGGTGTTCCTGTGAGGTTTGACGAAGTCCTAGCCCACTACAAGGCAAGACGCATTGTTCCATCTGCCTAGTTTGGGTATTCGTGGAAATTGCGCCACGTGTGCTCAGCCAGGCACAGGGCTACACGAAGAAGGAGGTGCAGAGTTATTGGGACCAGGTGGGAGCAAGCGGGCAGCACTTGCCCAAAGACCCCAACACCACCCCTTAACTAAGGAATATAGCTTAAAATCCTCAAGGGATCCTTATTATGATTTAAGGAATATTCCTTAATTAAGGGGTATTGGGCTCTTTGGGTACCAAAACAGGTTCCCAACTTGATGTCCCGTGCGATTCGTGGCATGCCCTGCCTGCAATTCGTAGCATGAGGGTTTAGGGTTTAGGGTTTAGGGATGATTCAGTCGGATCGGCTTCTCAAGGCTTCCCACCTTTCCCTCAAGACCTGGACCGTGGGAATGTGAGCTGTTGCATAGGAGACAACGCAGCCCTGCAGCAGACGCACACATCAAAGTAGGTTCGAAAAGGACGGAAGAAGGCAAACACACAGGTGCATGTAGTGTATGTGTGCATGTAGTGGAGGTGTGTGTGTGTGTGTGTGCAGTTGTTGAGATCTTGGGGTGAACTCCCGCCATATATGCACGGAGCTAGTGCTGCGTGTGTATTGGAGGTCTGCAAGCCGAAGGGCACCAAGGAAACCAAGGCCCGACTGGTGCCACGTAGCTGCGTTCCTGTAGCTCAAGGGTGTGAAGCATCGGATCCGGAGGCTAAAGCCAAAGCGGCACCTGCAGCCAAGGCAGGAGGGGCGCGGGCGTTGAAGTTTAGATACGTTGAGGTCCTTACCCTGACAGTGAGTAGGGGACCTACGGGGAAGAAGCTTGAAATCCAGAGTCGAGATTTGGGCGACCTCGAGTTTGAAATGGAACACCTAACGGATTGACGTACCTTCGCCAGCTCGCATCACAGTATGTCCTCATCTGCTGTCGTCTCTATGCACAAAGATGCACGGCCCTCAAAACCCAATGCCTCAGATTGAGCACGTTAATTTGCGCTGTAAGTATATGTATAAGGAAGCAATACTCGGCTGAACGAGCGAAGAATACTAGCACAATACAGAGGAAGGCAATTAAGACTTCGGATTCTCTCGTTTAGTGGATGAACATGTTAATTCTTGGATTGCAGGCAAAAAGCCGCAAAAAAGCCAATTGAAAATCAACAACTTTAGATAAATTTGTGGTTTGTCTTGCGTCACTTCCCGAATCTTTACCTTCACGTCTAGTCTAGCATAAAGCAAAGGCCAAAGCCCAAAGAAGCTGAGCAAGCTCCCGCAAACACCTCCCCTGCTTTGCACTTGCTACATGTCTCGTAGGCCGGGAGGCTAGGCGGCAGGTGCACGCAGGCCTTGGTAAGCACTAAACCCAAAACCTGAATCCCCAGATCCGCAAAACCCTACCTGCGACCCTCTTTACTTACAGTGTTATGGGTAGTTATACCCCAAACCCTAAACCCTAAACCCTAAACCCTAAACCCTAAACCCCAAACCCTAAACCCTAAACCTTAGGGGTCCAAGTTGAGGTAAAGGCAGCTCCGAAGCCGAAGGCCGCGGAGAAGCCCGAGGCAAAAGCCAAGGTGGGAGGGCTGAGAAGTCGGGCAAAAAGTGAGGGTGGCTTTTTTCTGCAACCCTAAACCCTAAACCCAAAACCCTAACCCTAAACCCTAAACCCTAAACCCTAAACCTCATAAACCCTAAACCCCAAACCCCAAACCCTAAACCCCAAACCCTAAACCCTCTGCGGCCCCCCCGGTTGCGAGGCCAAGGCTCTTCGCGGTGCAAGGGACCTGGCGGCGGAGGCCCGGGATGTCGGAGATTTGGGCGCTGACTTTGGGTTTAGGGTTTAGGGTTTCGGGTTTCGGGTTTCGGGTTTAGGGTTTAGGGTTTAGGGTTTAGGGCCCGAGGTGCCCTGCATAATCCCTTACAGGGTATACGTAGGCCCAATTCCCCTAGTTCCCTCATTCCCTACTAAGAACCTGGTGGGGCTCTTCTGGGAGGTCTCTGCCTGGACACATCTTGCCGACTAGGTGGGCCCGCCTCCGATGAAGAGCCTGCGATTGCCCAGAACGCGCGCAGTCCTCAAGGACATGTGGCCTGGCAACAAGTCTAAGAGAGAGAGAGGGAGAGGGGTTTAGGGTTTAGGGTTTAGGGCCTCAGCCCAGGGGTTAAAAGGGTTTAGGGTTCAGGGGAGAGAGAGAGAGAGAGCACCCAAAAAAGGGACCATGTTCAGCCCTCGTCAGTCAGGGTGCCGATGAGGGCTGATCCCTGCCATGTGAGCCTGAACAGCGGGAGCCAGACTTGACTGCCGAACCTGGCCGTCGTGGCCGGGGGATCTCCTTCGGGGGGTCCTCTAAAGCGAGGAAGAGGAAGAAGAAGAAGAAGAAGAAGAAGAAGAAGAAGAAGAAGAAGAAGAAGAAGAAGAAGAAGAAGAAGAAGAAGAAGAAGAAGAAGAGAGAGGAGTCGGGACTCTGAAGCTCAGTGCATCTCTGCCCAGCAAAGGAAGAGGCGCGAAACGGATTGGAGAATTGGCGCCATTGTTTACCAACTCTTCGTTGACCGGTTCGCGCCATCTGTAGACTTTGAAGCCAAGAAGCACCTCTACCCGGAGGTGCCGGCCTGAGTTGACGCAGGGTTTAGGGTTTAGGGTTTAGGGTGCAGGAGGCTCCGCGTCTTGGCAGGCATGTGCGCTCCTCAGACTGGCTAGTCCCCCAGCCCAGTTGCAAAAAGGGTTTAGGGTGCAGGCATGGATGCTTGTTGCCATGTCAGAGGCCACAGTAGCTTCTCCGGAGCTATCCCTATTCTTGGGGCAGCAACAAGTTTGAGGGCTTACCGGCATGATAATTCAGTTACTCAAGGGCCTACCGGCATGATAAGTCAGCTACTCAGGTGTTAAGAGCCTGCACCAGACATTAGGGATGCAGGGAACTCCGGACTTCTATCAGTGTCACACGATACCAGAGGGTGTAGCTCCCCCCCCTCCTCCTGAAAAAAAACGAAACACAACATGGCTTTCGCCGCCCTAGTCACGGCCCCTTCGATATTCCGAGCAAGTTGCCCAGCAAGCTTGCCGTCACGCGACTTCCTGCTTCAGGAGGCAACTTTCCATGGCTGGGATGAGTTGCCGCAGCCGGGAAAGCTTGTGGAATCTGCCGGATACTACAGCCACCCCGGCGGCACTCAGCTTCCTAAAAGCTCCTTAAAGTTTCGCCATATCGAAGTTCTCGACTTGAGAGGCAACGAGCTCGCATTTTGGGGTGGAGACCTGCCCAGTCTTACCTCCAAGCTGGACTACATTGATGGCCTAGGCACCGACCTCCCAACCGCTGCAAAGCGTGCTTTTTGCTTCTGCTGTTGACCCCACCTTTGCAGGAGTCGACGTGCTGTATCTGCAGCCCGTCACAAAAAGCTACTCCAACCACAAGTACGACACCATTGACTACAAGCAGTTGGACTCGCAGTATGGCACCGATGCTGACTTCAAGACGCTGACGACGAAAGTTCACGAGAAAGGCCAGGTACCTCCATCGCGCCTGCTGGAACGCAGTGCGCTCCTTCAGCAAGTCATTGCGCAGGTATGAAGCTGGTCCTCGATTTTGTGTTCAATCACTGCGGCAAGCGCTGCCAGTGGGTGCAGGACCTGCAGAAGTCTGCAAGCTACAGCCTTCTTTGATTGTCTTCTTGTCCCATGTGTTAGTATAGACCCCCAAATAGAAGGATCCCTTCTAGTAAGGATCCCTAATTTCGGAAAGTCCCGTTTTGCAGGACGCCCTTGCGGACACGTCATCTTCCAGGAGAAAGTATTTCTTCATGGGGGACGAGTACAAGCCTCACGGGTACAAGGTGTGCCGCTATCATCTAGCCGGGCCCTGTTGCAGGAGCATTCATTGATATGCCCTGTTGGTGATGCTGCATGGAACCCTGCACCCTAAACCCTAAACCCTTATCTCCCTAAACCCTAAACCCTAAACCCTAAACCCTATGCCTTGCCGGGGTTGTCTTGATGTTGAGCAGGTTTGGGGCTGTGCTCCGGCTTTGGTGGAGCTTGCCCTGGAGAGCAAGGCTGCTCTCAACTCCCCCTCCCCCCCCCTCCCCCCAGTTGCTTCGCACTTCGTCGCCTTGACATCTTCGTAGCTTTCCTTGGCTGCAGCTTCGTCCGGCCTTGCCAGGAGTTGCAGAAGCACCTCTGGGATGCCCCGGATTCGGCCCTGGCCACCTGGCTGGCCCAAGGCGGCCCTGTTTGCCTTCCTAGGGGGTCTCCAAGAGTTGCCCATGTGGAGCTTGGCTTTGTTAGACCTCCTGATACCTTGCCTACCGCCTGCAGCCGAAGCCCAAAACCCCAAACCCAAAACCCTCATTGGTGTTCTTTGAAAGTGGAAGGTGCGGATGGAGCACGCCTGGATGTCGCCTCAGAGATAGGCTCTAGTGTGCTGCCGTTGATGCGCCCTCTCTCTCTCTACTTCTCTTTCTTTTGTTGCCTGCAGAGATGTGCGGTTGACAGTTGAAGGCCTGCATCTCCTGGAATCCATCACCCGCGCAGCTCACAAGCACAAGAAGGACAGCTTGGTCATTGGAGAAGTCTGGGCGAACCTTGTCAGCATTCAAGGGCAGGTCACATGCTGCGCCCGCAGATGCTTGGGAAGTGAGCGCGTGCTTCTCAGGTATTCGCCCCATTGGACGCAGTCCATGGATGCAGCAGCTTGGGCTGGATTGGATTGGCCCTGGATGGCAGAACCTACCTTATTCGGATATTTTTGTACAACGTTACACACATGCCCTTCCAGAAATCTGTGTGGTCTCTGGCGATATGCGGGTCTGCGAAAATAGGGGGCCCCTCAAATCGGCCCCCAAATATCGAGGATTCCCTTATAATAAGGACCACAATAGGGTACCCCGAACTTTGGAAGGCCCCCAAGATGTCTGGTCTTCTGCAGGTCATGAGCCTTCACCTGGGCGTGCTCATTTATGGGCTGGCCGAGGGCACCTTGCCTGGCCCAACCGCAGCCCAGAGCCTCTCCAGGCTTCGTCTCTCGGGGGTTTTCGCGTCTGACCTGCTGCGTGATCTGGGGGCGCTTCTTTATTTTTCTGACAGCAAGAGCTGCCGAATTGCTGTGAGGATGATAGCAGATTCAAGCCCGGACGAGGCCCACGGGGCAAGATTTACCTTGAGCTCACCTTGAGCTCACCTTGTGCGATGTTATGCCGCTGGGAGGTGCTGAAGTGCTGGATCGTCGTCAGCAACCACGACATGCCGCGCCTAGCCCACAGACTACCGGAGCTGCAGGCTCTAAAGTGCGTTTGGGGGGAACGCCTCGCCCGAATGCCCCTACGCCCCGCAAACTCTACTTGAAGGTTCATGGGTACGTAGAAGTGGGGTTCTAAGTACCCTAGATATGGTTATAGCCGTAGTTACCCTACTTCTAGCCCCTCTTCTAAGTACCCTTGAACCTCCCAGTAGCGCTGTGTCAGGCACGCAAGTTTGCCCAGTGCCTACAATTTACCTGGCCGGGCTGTCCTCTCATCTACTACGGTGATGAGCTGGGATTGGAAGGTGGTGAGGACAGGAAATTCGCTATGCTTCAAAGCCATGAGATGCAGAAAAAGAGCCATTACCTCGCATAGTCATTGTGTCCGTAGAGTGGACCAGAGAGGACCCGCATAACCGAGCCCCTATGCCGTGGGAGCGCAACAACGACCAGAATGAGATGCTGCAGCATACGAAGATGCTGACGCTCGGTGGATCATTCTTGCGTGCCGAGAATCTGCAAGCAGACCCGAAACCCCAAACCCGAAACCCTAAACCCTAACCCTAAACCACTCCTATCATCCCGCATTTCGCCAACGTGAGAGTCGAAACCACTCCTATCATCCCTACAACAGTCGAAGAGCAGCCACCCCATAGCTGAGGATACAGCTTCGGAAGGACAACCGCGCCTTGAGAATAGGATCCTCGGTCCCAGTTGCAGAGTATGCCGCCAACGCGAGCGTTGCTGAGGACCTAAGTATCGCTTCGTTTGAGCTAAGGCAACTATCGAGATCTGCCCAGCACGAAGCTGATGGCATTCATCCGCACGACAGATCGTGTGGCAAGCTTGAATTTCAGCTCGGTTTACGGAGTACATGGTACGTGTATTAGCCTTTGCAACTGGTACATGTTAAAATCTGCCAGATGACCCAGAATCTGTTCGGCCAAATGGCCACAAGTCTAGAATCCGAAGCTCCAACCGGTCCTCCAATCCACACACAGGTCAGTGATGTGATCATCGTCCTTGCAAATCCGACGTCGGAGGTTGTCAAGGAACACGGAATGATTTCGCATGGACAGGCATGTGCATCTGCAGTAGCAAGAGAGCTGCCAAGAAACTGGCAGTCAGGAGATGGTTGTGGTGCCTGTTCCAGCCATCTTGGGCCACACGCTCTTCAAGGACGAAGTCGTATAAAACCAATTTATATACCTTGTATAGTCCCTATATGCCTAAGTCGCCCCTAAACAACCCTCAAAAAAAAACCCCTGAAGAACCCTGAGCCCTAAACTCTAAACCCTAAACCCTCAATAACCCCTAGGTGCAGGGATTTTTTTTTTGGTTGGCCCGTCTTTTGATCGTCCAGCTGCCCCTTTCTCAGGATCAGCTGAGCGGAGAGGACTTGCAAAGGGTTTCGATTCTAGTGTCCCCGAAACCCCTAAGCCCCTAAGCCCCTAAGCCTTACCCAGCGGTTGGCTGCTGCTTCCTGCTTGCTTGTGTTTTGGAGCAAAGTCCAGCACACCATCGTCGCGATTCGACGGAATAGCTTTCGAAGATTTTATGTGTATTCGTAGCATGTTTCAATCACAGAAGTCCCAGCTTTCGCTTCCAGGAAACGCGTCTCCTCGGCTCCACACTCACCGTGGACGTAGCTCCGAAGACGGTGCCGTGCCGAGAAGAGGGACGGACAGCGATAGTGATAGGCAACGACAATATACAACACAAATTAATCAACAATGTGAAGAAGCATCTCTTTCATAAGCAACAGTTGCCATCACCAGAATATGAACCGCAGCACAATGAAGACACTGTCAAGTCGACACCGATGTCAATGGCACGACGCATTGTTGCTAGCACTCTCGCTCTATGCCACATACCATGTATGTATATACCGTAAACTCTCTCTATATAGCATGCATCTACGTATAACATGCTACATTCAGATATGCATGCACTACATAGGAACTCTGACAATTGCGGCACTCCGGCTCGTAGCTGGATGTCGTCAGGTATCCATTGGAGCTCTAGAAGGGGAGAAACAAGCAAAGGCTGAGGGTGGGAGGAGGCTTGTTTGTTTGCTGGATTGCTTGTGTCTGTATTGGATTGGTTGTTTCATTCGCACATTTTGTGTGTTTGATTGACTTGTGGTGTTTCGCTTATTTTCTTTGTGATGGTTTGCTTGCTTGCCTGTTGCTACTTTCTGTTGTTTTGTCTCGTCTGCTTGTTTCCTTGTTTGTTTGGTGATCGTGGTCAAGAAATCTGGTGGTTGTGGAGGCGCAGGAGGAGATGGTAGTGGCAGAGGTGCAGTGGATGGATGTCTGTGCAGTGGAGCTTGCTTGTTGGGCATGTGCCTGAGGTGCGCGTATATGCTATGGCGAATGAGCTTGGAAATCCGAGCGGGGACCAGTACAAGCGCACATGGGGCCATTGGGCCTCTTTTCCCAGCGTGAAGCCCTAGAGCAATCCTAAAACGCGTGAAGAACAGAACTGGCTTTTATAGGTTGGGATGTTCCCCCTTGTACTAGCAGTCCTTAACTGGGGATTGCAGTACCCCCCTATTAGAATCCCAATTAAGGACTGTTAGTATAAGGGGGAACATCCCAGTTTATAGAACTTCATGACTACTAGGTTGGGATGTTCCCCCTTGTACTAACAGTCCTTTTTGGGGATTACAGTACCTCCCATTATAATCCCAATTAAGCACTGACTTCATAACTACTCTATGATGATCTTGCGGCATGCTGTGCCTGGCTTCGAGAAGGCCACGGGCGTCTGCCACAGCGTGGAAGCAAGGGGTCCTTAGTTCTGAAGTCCGCCCTCCACCAAGCCACTGCTCGTGGGACATGTGGGTTTAGGGCTTAGGGTTTAGGATTTAGGGTTTAGGGTTTAGGGGTTTAGGGTTTAGGGTTCAGGGGGGTTGGGCAGCTCAAGATCCCATGAGACCGAACTTACGACCACAAAGCATGGGCCCGTGGGTGTCTTGGCATGGGCAGGGAAGCCTCCCCAAACTTGTTTAATCTGCTCATCTCGATGAGCTCCTCCTGGGAGGGCGTCCTCCCTCCGTGGATTCGATTTCATCTTAGAATCTCACAGAGAAAGCCGGGGAAAAAAAGATGGCCGCTGGTGCTGCGTGCGCATTGGGCTCTTCCCAACTTCGGGTTGCCCCGAAGGCTTCTGCCTTCCTCTCGCAGGAAGAACCACACCTTCCTCACCACCGCCTGCGGCAGCCTGTGCTCAACCTGCGCGGTGAAGAAGCCGCAGGTCTTCTGTGCCAACTGCGAGGCCGGTGTATGTCCACTCTCCGTGTTTCTAGTGTAGCTCTGGCAATGTTGTGTTGAGTGGCGGACTTCAGCCACCAGCAATGATAACTAGCAGGTTAGGAGTGCAAGGGGTTTTTGAGCCCGCGAGCCCAAACCAGGACTCCTTTCACAAGTGCACTCGCCCATCCTGAGGACTACTTCTGCTTCAAGTGCTTTGAAGACATGCATCGACGTGGAAATCGATTGCAGCACAAGTCCATGCTTGTGAGCGTGTCAGTGGCCGGCTCAGTCTGCCCAGCTTGCCTCTAGTCCGGGTATGTTCCTGATGTTCCTGAACCATCTCCGGTGTAGCGGGCCAGGCGGGTGTGAACAAAAACCCACGACGCTCAGGATGGCGACGTGATTGAGCCGCAGAAGCGCTGCGAGGCCGGTTCTGCGCAAGCAAGCGGCGTGGACATGTCTGGATGCATGGCCCGTCCTCCAAAATCGTGATCCCCTCTTTGTTGGGCCTTAGCCATAAAGTTGAGGAGCCTCACGTGTAGGTTACCCAAAAGAGGGACCATTATCCTGGAGAACTGCACACTGGCAGGTTCTCTAATTATATGGGGGGTCCCTCATCGGGTACCTATTATCATACCTGCCCTTACAATATTTGGGAACCTGAACTCAGAAGAGCCCAAATACGTCTTGCTGCAGGAATGTGAAGATCGCCCAGCAGCCTTCGCATGCGTGCCTTAGCTGGAACTGGGTTTTTTTGTATTAAAAAAAAAGGTTTGGAGTTTAGGCGCTGGCCTCAGTTCCAGTCTTAAAAAAAGGTGTCTTCAGAGTGTCAGAGCTAGCAGGAGGCACTTCTCGTTTGCCTGGCAGACACGGTTGATTCTTCGACTCAGGATTATTGCTTGGACAACTACTGCGTGCAATGCTTCTGGAAGTGTCACTTCAACGGCCACTCGCAGACCAGAGGGAATGCTTTGCTAAACCCTCTAAACCCCAAGGCCCCAACGCCAAGGTGCAGCTATCAATTAGGTGATTGAACCTGTGGAGAATTTGAGAGTACGGCCCTGTCTTTCTAGCCTTGCTGCTCCGAGATCGTCCCGAGGCCACCGGCGCCAGCACACCGCCTCCAAGGCCACTGTATCTGGGGGCCGAGGGTGCTGCAAGGACAAGCCGAGGGCACCAGAAAAGTAGGCAACATGTAGAATACCTACTCGTCGAATAGCAGACCATGGCCGGGTGGCGTCAAAAAGCAGCCCCGCACCTTAACGTAGACCCATGCCAGTGACCTGCCCCACCTTGTGTCCCGCGTATACCCACCCATGAACCTTCAAGCAAACCCCTTGACCTCCCCTTGAATGCGCAAACGGTTCTAGGGGTCAGAGCTTGGACGGAAAGAAGGCTTAGGGCTCAGGGATGTTTAGGGTGTAGGTGTAGGGTGTCCTTGAGGGCCCTGGCGCAAGAAGGGTGTCCCGCCTTCCTGCAGGTGGCGGTCGTCCCCATGTGCAACCAGTGCCAGAACGTTCGCGCCACGATCTTCTCCGAGCAAACCCAGGAGTTGATGTGCACAGACGCTGAGGCTTTATTTACGGGTACTTGCTGTAGGGGTGTTTCGGGGGTGTTTGAGGGTGTTTAGGGGTGTTTGATGGTGTTTAGGAGTGTTTAGGGGTGTTTAGGGGCGTTTGATGGTTTAGGGGTGTTTAGGGGGGTGTAAGGTGTTTAGGGGTGTTTGGGGGTGTGTTTAGGGGTGTTTAGAGGTGTTTTAGGGGTGTTTAGGGTGTGTAGGGTTTGGGGCAAAAAGGGGTTTGGGGTTCGACAGCTTACGGGGGTCACCTTCGGCGGCAGCGTATCGAGGACGCCTTTGCACAAAGGGTTTAGGGCCTGTTCGACCTGGCCTGCGCTGGCCCGCGCTACAGCAACTGGACATGTGTTTGTGCGTGCTGAGGAATGTTTCACCATGCTGCACGCCAAGGGCAACCGCATGTTTCCTGGCTCGGTTTGGGGCATCTTGTCCGCTTCATGCGCAGTCTGGGATTTGCTGGAGGTTGCACCTGTTTATGGATGCGATGGCTCGGGGCTCGACCTATTGCATCCAAAGCAGCCTGCCAGTCGTGCCGCAGCCTTCTTCCACTTGCGTGTGTGAAGCTGAGGATTTGCTGGTGCTGCTAGAGCGCCTGGATCCAGCTTTCCAGGAGCTTGGCACATGCTCCGCTGCCCTTTTCCTCGACATATCCTTTCTGGCTGCGAACAGGAGCACATGCGCAGAGCTCGACCTCGTGTACTCTGGGCACTCAGCCAATTGCAAGGCCAGATCTTGAGTATTTGTGAGCCCTTTAAGTGGGTTTGCCAAACTGCGCCTTTTGCGGAAGGTTGGGTGAAGGGCATCGAAGCGCGCCGGAACTTCAAGAAGAGAAAGGACTTGAGACCGTTGCTTAGCAAGTCTTGGTTAGCCGGGTGTCCTTAGTGGGTCATTCTTTGACCTAGTAGCAAGCGCTTCGGCCGCTTCAAGAATCAAAACTGCTCGAAATGCTCCAGGACGTGGTCTTGATGATCCAGAGACGCTGGCGTGGCGTGCTGACGCGGCGCCGCTTGTTGGGCGACTTGGCTGGAAGTCATTCCCAAGCAAGAGAGCTGTGTCGGGCAGGGGGTTGTGGTTGTAGTTCGCTCCTGTTAGACGTATCCAAGCGGCCTTAGTTCGAGGCCATCCTTTGTTTTTTACCCTGCCTGAGGCATGCTGCACATGCACAAGTGGCGAAGGAACCACGGCCTGCAAAATTCCTCCTTCGCTCTCGTGTTTGATCCTGTGTTTGACGCACGTCATTCTGGGTGGTCCTAAAGACGTGCGTGCGGGAGGCGCCAAGTGAACAACTACTTCCTCCCCAAGACAGCGGCCGAGCGGCGGGCGGTAAAGCAGAAGACGACGGCCATGCTGTCGGCCAAGGAAGAAGGGGGAGATGGGGGGAAGTGTGCTGGCGTGCGTTGCGGTGCGAAGGGCCGAAGAGATATGCACACGGTTCCTGCTGCTCAGGATGTCACGACCCGTGCGGCCAACCAGTCACTGCGGGAGCTGCGGCAGACGATCCTTTCAACCGCCAACGCAGATCCACTGGAGGAGCGCCGTGGTGTAGACCAAGCTGCCGCTTGGGTCCCGAAAAGACTCGGGAGCATTCCAAGATAATCGGAGTTGTTCAGCAGGTGAGCACAGCCTTGGCCGCAGGACGCGCAGCTCACACGGGATCAGATGGAGGAGCTTTGTTGCTTTGCAAGTGTGTGCGATGTCCACAGCCTTGCCCACCTCCCCTGCCACACCCAGCACCCTCGCATCTCAGGGATGTTCACATCCCCCTGCGAGGCCCTACCCGGCGCAGAGGCCACGATGGGCGCCTCAGGTTCCGGCTTCGGCTCCTTCGGTGCCATTCCTGCGGGCGCCCAGACGGCACCGCCCGGAGGCATCTCACCGTATACCAGCTACGAGCAGAGCACGCGCTTCAACGGGGCCCTCACCGGGCCGGCCGGTGCCGCCACAACGCAGGACTTGTCCAAGAAGGACATCCGCAACACTCGCGACAGCACCCTTCGGCAGATTACGCGTTTGGACTGAGCTCCACGACCGTTCTTGTCAGACAGCTGGTCGAAGTGTCCTTAGCGTGTGTCAGCCAACCGAATTATACATCCTTTGTTTACCCTTCCCTTTCGAAAAGGATGGGCACGACCCGTTTGTTTCACTTAACCGCCACGTGGAGGGTCTGAAGAGAGTTCTAGCACGAGGTAGTCACAGCACAAGTGAGACTCAGAGGAATCAATCTGAGAGAAGAGAACCCTCCTGTAAGCGTCTCGGTCTGGATTGGTAGATAGTGTTCAGTCCCACTTGAAATCCAGCACCACATGTTTCACCAGAGGTGCAGAACTGATTTGCAAGTTGCATGCGTCGGGAAAGCCGAGCCTCGGTCCTCGCACTGCAGACATCTGCCGTGCTTTACCATGTCGGAATTGTAGCCTTGTACTCTGCACCCTGCTTGGTAGCTGCGTGTCTTCTTCGGAGTGCCTGCTTTCGACCAGCCTTTCACAGGCCGCGGCGTCGAAGAAGGCCAGAGAGGCGGGGCTTTGTGATGTGTTTGTGTGGTAGCGTCTGGCAACGTCGCGAAGTTGGAGCTGCGCTGTATATGCTGAGCCAACCGTAAAAGAATGCCAACCTTCTGGCTCCAGCTGAGGGGAGTTGCTGTGACACATCAGCTACGGCTAGTCCCCCCCCAAAAGGTCACGGCGAAAGTGGTTGCAGCCCCTTTGGGTGTTTAAAGCCGACCCTGTCGTTGCCGCATCCTCTCCCATGGCCGCCAAAGCCCCCCAGCCGGGTGATGCCACGTTGGATGAGCGCCTCGGCTGGGCTGAGGAGCATGTCTTGTAGCTGCCACCCTGCACGTTCTCCGGACCACCTGAACCCTAGAACCCTAGAAAGCCCTCTCAACCCTATCACGAAAGCTAGCCCTTACAACCTGAAGGGTATACAGGGCCCCCGGAGGCTCCGCCACGAAACGCAGCAAACCCGGTCGGTTTCCGGGTGGCGAACACAGGTTTTGGGGAAACGGGCTGGCGTTCATTTCTGTCGTATATTGGGTGCAAATGAACGCCGTTCTCTGTGGATCCCAGGCCCTAGAAAAGCCCCCCAAGTCCCCCAAGAAAAGACTCAGAAACCTTGATGTTGATTTGAGTCTGGCATCCCTCAAAGCTGGATTGGACAGACTTCAAACTTCGCCTGGCAAGTGCAACATCTGTTGTGGTGTCATGAGCTTCAAAAAAGAGCCCTCCGGAAGATGCTAAAACACCGCAGAGCAAAGCAACACACCAACACATTGCCAGAAGGAATGCCACCTCAATATTGGCACCTGCGCCAGAAAAAAGGTGGCACGACCTGCTGCCTTTGCGTGTGCTTGTCCTTCTGCGTAGTTGATGCCATGTTGACGGAAGCTCTTCCGTGGGGGTACCTTAACTAGCTTTCGTCCCAGGCCCTCACCCCCAAGTAAGCCCTTTAAGCAACCCTAAACCTTGTGTTCGATGGCCACGAAGCGTAAGTCGCTTTGAGTGCCTTTGGTGCCACCAGGTCCGGTTACATCCAGATGACGAAGTATGCCACGCAGGAGCAGATGGCCACGCAGCTGCATGAAGCGTCGCCACGGAGCGCAGTACCTTCTTAGTATATCCTGGTATTTTGTCACATACCCCAGTATATTCTAGGATAATATTGTTCAATACCCCTTGCAGAAATACAGGAATACACCCTGAAACCCCTCTTTGAAGTATTGTCGGAGCAGAGCTGAAAGAGCTGCAATAAAAGGGATCCAAGGTTCAATTCATCGAGCGCGTCATCACCTCGTTTGGCTACCAGGCCTTGCTGGAACCCGAAACCCGACGCCGGGGGTTTTTAACATGGCATCCCTGGGGAGGCCTTGCCGTCGACAACTTTGGAGGACTTAGCCCGAAAGCACATCAAGATCCCCGACTCCTTTCAGGCGTCGCTGCGATTTTGAAAGCTACGATATTTGGGGGGTACCTTGTTGGGATCCTTACAAGTCCAGCTATTTGGCGGTCGATATTAGGGTCACCTTCCCATCGTACACCCATATTTGGGGAGGGGCGAGGCATCTGGTGCCCTTCTTGCCCACTCTTCTTCAGGCGCTCCTCCAAGACCTCGCAGCGGTGCCTTGGGCTTGAACTCTCAGCTTGGCATGGGACCCGCACTCTCACGAGTTCAAGTGCCGAGGAGACAGCACAGCCGCCGCCACCGACCGGGTCGACGGCACCCTCGGCGCCTCATGCGCCCTCCGAGGCTGCTGGTAAGCCCCCATCTTCAGCTGCATCTTCTGCTCCATGTGGGCCTGGGCCAGATGCGGGCCAAGCCTTGCGCCAGCTGGTGCGAAGAGCCGGGGGTTCACAGGTCATGGGTGTCACAACGCTTCCTCTCTTGGTAGCCTACGTGTAGTGTGGGTCCCTTCGAAGATGTCCAGGGGTGGATGGATCTCAGCTAGGGCAGCGGAGCTACTTGAAGGTTCATGGTAGTTATAAGTAGGGGAACTACTATTATCGTGGTTACACAGCCTTGTTTATAGGGTACTTATAACCCTACTTCTGACTACCCATGAACCTCCAAGATCCTCCAAGTAAGCCAAGGTCCCGGCGCAAGCTCCGCGCCAAGCTCGAGCTCAGCGCAGAGTGCCGAGATTTCCTTGGGCGGCTTGACCGCGGAAAACAGGGAGCCTTCAGGGACACTGCTGCTGGTCTCTTTGTCATAGTTGGGTACCAGTTTACATATTTTAAGGGTACTTAAACCCTATAAGGAATAAAGATCTAAGCTTTTAACATTATCCCAACCATGAACTAGGTGTCACCTCCCTGGTCTTTATTTCGCAGCCGCGACTTCCAGCTTGTTGTCCGGAATCCAGGAAATCCGGAAGTCGGCCTGCTGATCTTCACAAGCACCGATCGTTCGGAAGTGGTCGCTGTAGCGCAGGCGATCTACGCACAGCTGGGCCCAAGCGTGCAGAGCCTGGCGGAGCCCAGCTTCTACCAAGCCCTGCAAGGCAACCCCGCATTGCTACGGCGCCTGGCCACCAACGCGGCGGACGTGGCCACGGAGCTTTGCATTCCAACCGCGCCTTCTGAGGAGGTCCACCCAGAGGAGGAGCACGGGGAATGCCCGATCTGCTTCGACGAGATCCATCCAGGGGAGGCCGCCATGCGCTGTGCAGGCCAGGGCGGGGTACACCACTACTTCCACGCGCGGTGCCTCCAGTCTTGGATGGCGGCTTGCCGGGAAGGCCGCGAAGCGACCTGCCCGGTGTGCCGAGGCCAACTCCAAATCAACGGGCACCGCCTCCAGGACTTCCTGAACGGTGAGGCTTCTTCTTCCTTGTCGCAAGACGACCGAACTTATCTGCAAAACATTGCCGATGGCTTGCGTGGGAAGAACCGATGGCAGCAGATGAACAAGCTGGAGAAGGCAGCGTATGCCGGAGGCATTTTGGCTGCGGCTGGCTGGGGCTTCATGCTGGGCTACAATGAGAGCAACCATCGCGCGACCCGCTACTTGGCGCTCGACGTCCTTCCCCAAGAGCATCGCTTTGCACAAGGGATCGGGTGGCTTGTGGGAGTGCTCGCGTGGTATGTGCGGAAGAACATGCAGGAGAAGGAAGAGCGGGACAGGCAGCAGCGCAGCCAGGAGGGACGGAGGAGTTAGGGACCAGGACAGGCTGTGGCTCCCAAGTTGGGTTCACGTCAAGGAACGACGCATTGATTAGTTGGTACAGCCTGCCTAAGGCAGTCATATGCTTCCGACGAGACATGGTACAGGTCAAAGTCGCGCAGTTCTCAGAAACAAGCCGCCCCCGAACCTTACCGCATGTCCCTCATATGGCATCCTCTTAACTTTCCATCGAAGACAGCAGAGGCAGCATCCTCTCTTATCCGTAGCAACTGCTCTCGAGGATGGCGTTGTTCCAGCTGTCCAGCTTAGCATAAGAGACAGCATGGAGCTGCTGCGCACCCGAGTGTGTGAGTGGCAACCTGTCGGCATCGACTCACTGGCCATTGCACCCTCGGGGGCCGGTTCTTCACCCCGCCTCGCGGTCGGCCGAGAGAGCCCGAGACGAATTTTTAGGCCAATACTACCCCATAGCGACTGCTACGAAGAATGTGTATGGTTTAGGATTCAGGGGGGGGGGTTTAGCTTAGAAACTCAGGGTTGAACCATGATCATCGATCGATGCTTTCAGTTCCAAGGATTGTTGAGGGACGTCCGGGGCTCAAATCCCCACAGCCAAAAGATGGAGGGTCTCCCCAACATTTCTGCCAGGTGCTTAAGACCCCCCCCCCCAAAAAAAAAACAAGGCAAGTATTCTGAGGCCAATGTGGGGATCATTACCTTTGTTTTTTGCTTTTTTTGAGTTCGTACGCAAGTAGTAGATTAGTGTACCTTTTTCACAGCTCTCATGGTGCCCATCCATGGTTTTCTTGTCAAGAACGCGCCAAGTCCGCTTGCGCTTTCAGGCCATGGGGTTTAGGTTCCAGGGTTCGAGCTCATTCGAGGAACTGGCAACTTCACCTAGGCATACGGTCAACTTCAAGACGGGAGCACGCAGATGTGCAGACAGAGGCCTCAGAAAGACACATGCAGACTCTTAGCCACTTACGCAGTTTGGCTACTTGCCCCTCTACAAAGCTAAGGAACGGAGCGCTCGAGCTCTGGGACACCGAGACCTGGCACTTGCGAAGCTCCGCCCCTGGCAACTCTCGGCGGCGACCGAGAAGCCTCGTTTGGGTGCTGGACTCTGTCCCTTTGCTCTTCACTGGGCCTACCTTTGGGGTCGATGTGGGTGTTGACGCTAGGAAGGGACCCGTAATGTAGTGTAGAAACCCTCCAGATTGGTAAGGATACCAAATAAGGACCCCAATAAGGTAACCCCCTAACATCGCACACCCCCATGGTGTGTCCTGCTTTGACCATGTGCCCTCAACACCTCCGCAGGCAGAAGGCCCGCCGAAGCTGCGGCTGATATCTGCTGGGCTGCACGGCGAAGTCACGGAATGGGACGTGGATACGCTGGAGCCGATCGAAACTTGTTCTCCAGGCGGGAAAACCGCGGGAACCTGCATACAATGCTTGAAAGGAAGCTCCGGGTAGGTCAGGGTCACATATAGGGTGGCCTTGCACAGGCGGCGGCGCCATCTGGGGACTGTCGGTGCAAGGGGAACACCTCTTTGCCGCTTGCGACGATGCTCTGCACCATTGCCCTTTACACGATTTACCACGTGCGGTCAGACCTCACACCGTAGTTAGGTGAGAGGAGGCTGTGGAATGAGGGCTCTTGTTCTCTGTTCTGAGGATGGCACAGTCCGCGTTGTGTCTTTGGCGGGTGGAGCAGGGTCGCTGATGTACACCAAGCGCATCAGCGTGGCCACCTCCCGTCTCCTTAGCCTGGCAATTCAGGAGCATCACGGTTCTCCTCTTGTGCAGGGTAGTGGTGGCTCCCAATGTGGGTTTAGGGTTTAGGGTTTAGCTAGAGTCTAGACTGGCAGCCCGGCTCTTCTGGCGAGCCCTGGCAGGACAGGGCAGTCTTTGCTGGAGCTGACGGCAAGATCTCCAAATGGAGCATCGAAACTAGCGTGTGCGAAGGAAGCATGCAATTGGAGATGCTGGGCCCCACTTGTCGCGTAGATGAGGTCATGAAAGGTATGGATCTTCCCGAACAGCCCTTAGCAAACTCCACCCTCTCCGAAGCACCGAGGAAGCCTCCACAAGGGCAGACACTGCTGCTTGGCACCACTGTCGAATGCTTTGATTCCGTGAGGTACCTAGAATAGGATTACGTAAGAATAAGCATAATGATTATAGGAATACTAACAATAATAATAATCATCATCATAATATTAATAGGAAGATTGGTAATACATGTTCCCAGCGCCCTGCAGGATTTGGAGCCTGGTATCTCTCGAGGCCTTGCCAGCAGTCAGTCCGAGCATCTCTTCCAAGATCTTCGTATCTTCCCGCTGGTTCTTAGTAGGGAACTGCGGGAATGAGGGCACTATATCTATCTATCTATATATATATATATATATACCCTTAAAGGGGTTCTGCAGGGCCCTCACTCCTAAGAAGCAGCCAGTCTTGGGCACCGGCAGGACCAGATGCTGGCCAGTGGGGACAGCCTGGGATTGGTGCAGATCTGGGACACGGCTGCTCCCTCAGCTTCTGCTTCAGAGGGAAGCTGCGCCCTCTCTTACTGTAGTAGGAAGTGAGGGAGTGAGGGCCCGATATCATCCCTTTAAGGGTATAAAAGACGGCCCTCATTCCCTCAGTTTCCTACTGAGAACCAGGGGATTCCTTGTTTCACTGGAGCTTAGGTGGCCTGTGTGCTCCTCCACCGATTCGCTCAGCACCAGGCCGACGTCCTTGCGGCTTGGACCAGATTACGAGAGCTTGCCTCCATGGGGCCGATGTGGGTTATATTCTGTTATATTCTAGTATAGTATTATACTATATCATGGTATAGTATACTGTGTTATAGTCTATTATACTATGTTATATAGTATATTATACTATGTTATAGTATATTGTACTATGTTATAGTATGTGGGTTCATTTCAGCCACGGCACACGCGATGCTTTGGGAAGCGCTGAAGCAGTCGCTGTCACACGACCCTGACATGCCCGCGCATGCCGCGGCCAGTGTTTTCGTAGCTGCCCGGAGGCCTTAGCTGCGAGTGGTGATGGACGGACGCTCCTCTCTGGCGGCGTTGACGCGAAAATCTCTGAGTTCGGGCGCCAAAAGGGCAGCCAGGAGAAGCTGCTCGACATGGGGTTTAGGGTTTAGGGATTGCCGGTAGCAGGTAGAGCGTAGTTTTGTGATGATGTTGAGCCTCTGTCGTGACTGCACCTCAACCGCCCACCACGCTGCTGTTTCTGTTTGCAGCAAAGAGGCAGATAGCGAGCACATGATCGGCTCATGCCAGATCATGCTAGCCTACCTTTTCTCAAGCCCGTGTCCTCGCTTACAGCCACTCCTGGCTGCAAGGAAGGACACGCTGGCTTGTGAAAGCTAGGAAAGGAAACCTATCCCGAGAAGTCAAACTACGTGCCGGGACAGACAAGCCTGGTGCCGCACTGGATACCCGTACTACTTGCTCAACAAGTGGGCGCGATGCGTCCGAGCGCCTGGATTGGAACGTCACGCTCGCTGGGAGTTCACGCGGGCGCGACGTTGGCTACGTGCTGAACGTTGGATGAACAGGTGATTCACAGGATCGTGGCAGCGTGGACGGGGTGTTGTGCCCAGCTAAAGCACGAATCCAGCTAGGCCATCCCAGCTGAAGCAGAGAGATCATAGAGACATGCGCAAATCTCCCAATCCGGCGTCGCTTGGGCATCGAAAAGAAAGGCCAAGGAAAAAAACGCCTGCTGTGCTGCAGTTGCATGCTTTTGTGCTGTGGCTGTGGCGACTGTCTCCGTGCGCGAGGAGCGATGGGTCTTCCGCGATGCGATGCTGTGTCCGCTCCCCAGCACTCAGTCGCTCTCACCATCTCTGACCCTCAACCCCGGCCTGCCTGATTGTGAGGAAGTAAGCTTCCCAAATTTGGGGTTCCCCTTGTATGCCCCAAAGAGAACAGTATCCCCCTAAACGGGATCCCCAAAAAGGTTACGCCTACTTCTTGGAAACTTCCCAAAGTAAGCCCCGCGACGATTTTTCGAGGCCATTCGCATGACGTGCGTGCGATCGCCATCGACAACACGAAGAAAGGGCGAAACACGCAAGTCTCGGCAGGAGCCGCCGGCAGGCGATCCACTTTGCCACTCCCCCTTACGGCATCAAAGCACGGGAGTAATATTACTACTGCTATTCTTCTTCTTGTTGTTGTTATTGTTATTGATATTTTGACAAATACCCTTAGTATACTATTGCATTATATGTTGTTGTGCGATTGCACGATTGCACGGTCTTTGTTTACACTATTGCATGCGTATAAGGGATGGACATTGAGTTCGGCCTGTGTGGATGTTGCTTGCAAATGACAACACGCTCACCAAATACGATCACAATGTGTGTTGTGGAAAACGATGACGCGCTTGCCAGTTTTAAGCGTCCAGTAGCCTAAGCCAGAAATTTGAACCGTATCATATTCGTAAAGCGGCATGCCACGGGACGCTTATTATACCTTTTTATCATGTACCATGCATTCTTATCACATGTTGAGGCTATTTAAATTGGTGCTTCCTCACGTTTTCATGATTTCTGTCATAGTATGGTGCCATTTATTAGTATATTAATATATTAAATATATATATATATATATGTATATACACATGTATGAGTGGATGGCAGTGGTGTTCCCGCGACCCTTGGACAGGCTCTTTGTCTCCAAGCCCCTGGAGTCTGGTCACGACAAAGCGGCGAGACCTTTCCAGTGCAGCAACTTTTCACCTCTGTTCCAAACGGCATCGATTTCGGAAGACAGCCGCCTCGTTCTCTGCCAGAAGGGGCAGACGCTTGAGCTGTGGTATCTGCCGCTTGGGCAGCTATGGTGCCGTGCGTGTGGGTGGTTGTCAAAATTATGGACCCCTTTTTGGATCTAGGGTGCCCCAAAAGGATCATAATTTTGACAACCACCCATGTGTCTTTTTTTGTTTCAACGATGCGGACACCCCACATGAAAGCAACGTCTTGGCGACGGCCGCGCGCATCAACCAAATCCTTGTCCTTAGCACCCCTGAGAGTTGGAGACCCCCGAAGTCATGCCATAGTTGGGAGGTTCATGGGCACCTATAAGTAGGATCATACGTACAGTAGGGTATCTATGGTTATAGCAGAATCCAGGGTACTTATGACTCCACGTACTACAAGCACGCATGAACCCTCAAATAAGCCCCTAAACCCTAAACTTTCCTAAAGCCCGAGACCCTCAAGCCCTGGAACCCTAAACCCTAAACCCTAAACCCTAAACCCTAAACCCTAAACCCTAAACCCATGAACCTTCAAGTGCAGGCCTGAGCCGGACGACGCGCCGAGCCTGGGAGGTTCGGCGCGGGCCCCCGAAGGACGCGAAGGGAAGTTGGCTTACAGAGGGTTTAGGGGTCTAGGGTTTAGGGTCTAGGGTTTAGGTGTTTAGGGTTTGGGGGTTTAGGGTTTAGGGGTTTACGGGTTTAGGGTTTAGGGTTTAGGGGCCGGCTGCCGTTTGCCCCCGAGACTTGTGCATGTGGCCATGGTCACCCGAGAACCTAAACCCTAAACCCTAAACCCAAAACCCTAAACCCTAAACAGTTTCAAGCTGGAAGGACAGCTGTTGCTGACGATCTCCTTGGCCGGCAAGTCGATAGGACCTGACGGAACCAAGAGAAGCCTCTCGGACTCGGTCCTATGCCTTCTGTGATTGGGTTTTAGGGGTTAGGGGTTGAGGGGTTTAGGGGTTTTTGAGGTTTCAGGGGTTTAGGGTTTTTTGTTCAAAAAACAGGGGTTTAGGAGTTTAAGGTTTAGGCTGGATTCTTTTTTGCTGATGGGCTAGAAGGGTACCTTGAATACATGCTTCACGGGAAGAGCTTCAAGCCAATGAGCCATGCCACTACGCACACCCACCACTTGTTGCCCTCTTGCCTGTGCCTACTGCAGATGTCGTGCTTGCCACTGTTGCTTGACCAACGCGTAGGTATCGCCTTTGACGCGAAAGTCTAGTTTCAAAAAGCGCAGGCGCAGACTATCTCTGCTCCTCCGCCATCTCCCCGGACGGAAAGCGGGTGGCGGCCAGCGATATGACTGGCACTCGGCTATTCGGGCTGAGTGTGAGCGAGCTCCAGGCAGGAGCTTGAGGGGGTTGATGGAAGGTGGAGGATGCTTTGAAGTTCAAGAGCCCTTAGCCAAGGAATGCGCCCCTAATTCACACGAAGGATCTTGATTAGTGGGTTAAGGGCACATTCCTTACTTAAGCTTGTGGAGGATGCTTGAAGTTGCTGAACCCTAAACCCCAAACCCCAAACCCCAAACCCCAAACCCTAAACCCTAAACCCTTGTTGAACCTGTGTGCCTCGCCTGGCTTGTCCGAGTGTGAGCGATTAAACCCTAAACCCCAAACCCTAAACCCTAAACCCTAAACCCCAAACCCCAAACCCCAAACCCTAAACCCTAAAGCCTGAACCTGGGACCCCAGCAGCTGGCAGGTTCAGCGGGCTTCGCTGCCCATCGAAGTGGCCAGAAGCGCAGCGCGCGCTCTGAAGTTCTGCTCGCCGAAACTGCTGCTCGGTTTCACAAACAGGGTTTAGGGTTTAGGGTTTAGGGTTTAGGGTTAGGCCATGGTGAAGGTGGGTGCGGTTCACAAGTTGTTGCTCACCTTCTTTTTCTGAGGCTTGCAGTGGCGCCCTGGCACGGGCATGTGGCTGAGCAGCACAGGGCATTACCGTTTCACAGCTTGCGGCTCGATGCGGTGGCATTCACGCGGAGTTGACGCATAGGGCTGTCGACTAAGGTCATCCACCTGCTCGACTGCAAGGAGAAGAGCCTGGCAGCATCATGGAGGTTGAGGTGTTGTGGTCATGATTGCAAGAGTACTTACGCCCCTGCCAACAATATAGCCAGTCTTCAGTCTCCGGGTTCGCGGGTCCCGATGTCCTTCCTCGTGACCTTGACGAGCAGGGCCTTCAGTTGTCCGAAGTTTTATCTTTCCCATGCCATCAACCCTAAACCCTAAACCCTAAGCCAAGCTCAGGAACATTATTGCAACATTTGAAGATCACAAGGCGCCAGTTGCTTTGCTGGCTGCCGGTGGGCCAGGAGGGGAGTGGTTGGCTTCAGCAGATCTGGCCGGAGCCGTCAACGTCTTTAGCCTGGATGGTCTCTACCACCACGCCTCCGTTCCAGTTGGACATGGTGCGGCCACGGCAATGGGATTCGACAGCTCTGGGAAGCACTTGGTAGTTGTCACAACTGCGCATGTGGTAACGCTGTACGACATTGAGTCGCAAAGCCTGGCGAGCGACATCGCCCCCTTTGACATACCAAAGCGGCATCTGGCAGTTCACGCGCGCGTCTGTGGCGTTGCCACTTTTCCGGAAGCCCCAGACAAGCTGCTTCTCTGGGGCCACAACTACCTGCTGGCCGTGAATCTCAAGGCAAGACAGGCAAGAGACGACTCGTCGACAGAGCCCTACACCTGGCGCCTTTGGGCAGGAATCCGCCGCTTGTTTGGTACTGTACTCCATGGATTTGCCAGAGGGTCGAACCCTGAACCCTGAACCCTGAACCCTGAACCGGAACACGCACAAGGCCGGCAAGGTTCATAGGTCACTGAAGTCGGGTCGTAGGCACTACCCTACCATAGATGCCGCCACACGGGATCCAAGGAATGGAAACCACAGCAATAAGACCCAATGCCCCCCTCCCTCAAAGGCGGCGGCTGCATCAAATCCGCAAGACAATAATAACAATCTGGGCCATCCAGCTGCCACACAAGCAGCCAGCCCCTAGTGAGTAAAGCAAGCAGCGCACCAGAAAGGCCCCCTGCTCAACTGCTGAGTTTCAACCCTAAAACCCTAAACCCCAGTGTGTACCTCGCCTGGCTTGTCCGAGTGTGAGCGATTAAACCCTAAACCCTAAACCCTAAACCCTAAACCCTAAACCCTAAACCCTAAACCCTAAACCCTAAACCCTAAACCCTAAACCCTAAACCCTAAACCCGAAACCTACATCCCCGCAGTGCTGTGGCTAGTCGGGTGCCAAAAAATCCCGAAACCCTCTTTGCTGCCCTTGAAAAAACTGCGTGTCTGAGGCCATGTCTTAGCATTCTTCGGACTCCAGAAGCCCTGGAGCCTTGCCACAGACTCCGCTGCAGTTCGCAAGCGCAAGCGAGGAGGCGCTCTTGCAAGTGTGTGAGAGAGAGAGATCTTTTTATGTATCTGGTTATATATGTATGGTTAGGCATACACACACAGATAGATAGATAGATATATATATATATATAGAAATATATATATATATATATATATATCTGTATGTATATGTATGTATATATACATGTATATATACATGCATATTTGTACCTATGGTTGTGAGCAAGATGAGCTGCTTTTGTTGCGCGCTCATTGTATGCTTTGCTCAGATGACGATGCAGAAGCGTCCCTTCTCCCAACGGGTCTGGCAATGGAGGCAGCCTGGGTTCAAATCTAACTTATATACTGGGTTACCCTAAACCCTAAACCCTAAATCCTAAACCCTAAACCCTAAGTCAGCAAGACCGGCTTCAAAGGGGGACCCCTAAAATAGACCCCCAAGCATTAGGATTCCCTTAAGATAAGGACCCCAAAACGGTTACCTCTAATTTCGGAAACCCCCGGATGATGTTGTGTGGGCAGTTTGCATGTCCTTGAACTGATGCCTGTCGCTTGGCTTAGATCCACCGCTGCATGCGCACAGCACCCAGATGCACGCAACGATTCCTTGCAAAGACCCTAAACCCTAAACCCTAAACCCTAAACCCTTACGACGGTAGAATTTCCTCAACTGAATGCCGAAGGCGAGGTTCTCAGGGTGGTTCCATCAGGCCCGGGATCTTTTTTCCACTTTCCGAGACCGACCTACCAACCCCGCATTGCTGTGGCTAGACGGGTGCCAAAAAAAAACCTAAACCCTAAACCCTAAACCCTAAACCCTGAAGATGCTTGGCGAGGTCACCCCAGAGGCCGCTGAGGCTGGCCTGCCCACGCCTTTCGAGCGGAAGAAGTTCCAGAAGCAGGGGCGCCCAAAGCAGATCGACAGAGGCGCCAGATGCACGTTCTAACCCTAAACCCTAAACCCTAAACCCTAAACCCTAAAAGCCCCGCGCGGCCTGCCAGGACCAGAATTCTGAGGACTCGGAGCTCATGAGAACTTGGAGCTCATATGTGCTCATGTGCTCGAAACATGTAGGCAGATAACTCGTAGCCCCTGCCAAAAAATGTGTACAGCTGCAAAGTGCGACTTGACACATCCCTGTTTGGAACCAAAGGAGGTCCGCTCGGGTTCACCCCTGCACATGAGAGATCGTTTGGAGGAGGTGAACAATGTGAGCGCTTTTCCTGCAGTGCCGGGCTCTTCTTGTTTGGGACTACGTGAAGGTTCTGTGGGACTTACAAGTGGAGTTGTAAGTGCCCGAAATAAGGTTTTTACTTAAACCCTAAACCCTAAACCCTAAACCCTAAACCCTAAACCCTAAACCCTAAACCCTAAAGCCCATCTCGGCGGCCATGTGCTGCGGGCCACGCAGGATCGTAGCCATCTTTGTCGCTGCTCAGGGCACCTTGAAGTCTTGCTCAGCAAGCCCCAATACCTTGATTCATAATAAGAATAATAAGAGAAAGGATCATAATAAGTTAATAGTAAGATTAAGAGTTCACAGAATAAGAATAAGAATACTAACAACAGCAACAACAATAACAACAGCAATAACCGTAATAGCAACAATAAGAATATTAAAGATATCCCTGATGTAGTTTAGGTTTGCTTATGGGTGCTAGCTAGCCCTGAGTGGACCTCTGCGGCTGCTGCGGTGGCGGAATGTTGAGGGCACTGCCCGCGGAGCTTGCCCGGCTGGGAGCGCTGCGCTTGCGCGCAAAGCTTGCTGGTCTTTCGTCCCTGGTGCCCGGAACGGGATGTAGCAACGGCGAGGCCCGCTTGGGCGATGCACATCGGAGGATGTGCACGAGGCCGGGTGGCTGGCATATGATTCTGGACATGGACGGGGTGCTGTACAAGCATGCAGAGGTGGAGCGTGACATTGTCAAGCGCTTGGGCAAGGCCACTGAGCAGCTGGGTCTGGGGCCTGAGGGGCACCAGGATCTTTTCAGGTCACATGGATCAACCATCCAAGGACAGGTCTCACGCAGATGTAGGTTGCCTTTCGGGTCGCTTCAAGGTCCCCTTATGGAGAGCTGCCGTGATTCCTGGCGCAGGACTGCTTTCCGAGGGCCATCTTTCTGGAGATGCCGTCGAACCCTTCTACTCCGGCGTCTACGATGGTGTGAACCTCGAGGCAGGCTCTGTGCAACAGGACAGCTTATTGCTGAGCTCGGCTTTTCTGCGGGCTGTTCTAGATCAGACTTCTTTACAGATGCCCTTTATGCCAGTATCCCGAACAACCCCTGCATCATTGAGTCTTAAGCAGGGCCTACGTCTGAGCTAAGCCCACCCTACACTTGCCGAGAGGCGCTGAAGCCTGATCCACTCTTGGCCCTGCAGCTGAAGTCCCTGAGGCAAGCTGCCGGTCCTATTATTATTATTATTATTATTATTATTATTATGTAGGCTACTATGCTTCTGCTTGAAGGGGGCTTCAGGAGACGGTTGCACGTAGTGTGACATGCCCTTCCAGAATAGCAAGGCAGAACCTTGCGACGCCCAAGCCCGGCACCTGTCAGGGCGGACGACGTTTGCGTGTGGCTGGCGACCAACTCGCCACGACCGTTCGTGGACCGAGTCCTCCAGGTCTGCCATGGGCCTCGTGTGTTTGAGGTGTCTTACTGTTGGCTAGTAGGGAATGAGGGAATGAGGTACCCCATGTAAGCCCTTAAAAGGGCATATAACAGGGCCCTAGTTCCCTCATTCCCTGTCAACCAACAGTAAACAGTAAGGTGTGTGTGTGTGTGCGCACCCACCGTTTCGAAGGTGGCTTCTGTTGGCTTGAACTCCTAATTTCAGAAGTTGAGGTCCCAAACGATGGCCGGGATCATCGCATGCCTGTCCCAACCGATATTTTTGAAACAATGTCAGATTGTGTGTGTATGCCTTAACTTAGACGTAAACCTCAAAAACATCCTTAAACCCGAAACTTCAGCTGGAGGCCACAAAATGCACAAGAAAGCTGTAGGCCCTGGGACTGGAGAGCCATCTCCTTCGAATTGTCTGCCCATCTTCGGAGAATGGCTGGGTGAACAAGCCGGATGCCAGGCCCGGCGGCTAGGTGCTCTGTGCCTCGAATAGTAATACTAACGGTTCAGGGTTGAGGCTTTTGGGCTAGCAGTAATGTGTCACAAATCACAACCACAACAGTAACAGCAAAAAGTCTCAACAACAACAATAGGAACAAAGTATTTAAGCATCATATCTTCCCAGCGAGCAGTGCAGTCTGGGTTCAAAGAAGGATCACATGGAGAAGGACAGGTAGGCTTGAACCGGCACGCTCGCACCTTGCAGGTTCTTCGAGATGTTGCCACGAACGCAAGCGAAGTTCTTCGACGACTCCTTGGGCCACGTGCTCGTTCATCTCGGGTTTAGGGTTTCGGGTGTTGGGTTCAGACCGGATTCAAAATGCTTTAGGGCAGAATGTAGGGGATCGGGTCGTAGGAGCTACGATGGTTGGTCATTGCACCCACCAAGCGGAGGCCATGTTCGAGCAGCGGTAGCTGCTGGACTGCCTGCGGTGCATGTGCCGCCGGGCGAGCACCATCTAGGGCGGCCATTGCTTGGGCTTGAACTAGCAGCGAATCAGCAAGTGCTGTGCCACCAGTATCAGCGCAAGTGGCGGCAATTGCGACGTGCAGACTCCATGAAAGTGTTGGCTGCTCAAACATGTGCACGACGAAGCAATCTCAGGAGGCGGTCGGACGACGTGATGATGCTCGTGGCGGACGCTTTGATGGCTTCTTGGGTGTCAGAAGTTTCAGAGCTTTCATGCTCACTTCGTGGTTCTTGGGCACTGGCTGATCGGTGAATGGAAGCTGCGAGTTCTGCCTCGAGTGAGGTGGTGCCAGCCTGCTGGCGCTTGTCGAAAAGTCACTACTTGCAGGCTCCAGCTTCAAGTTCTTATCTTGCGAGTTTTTGTTTTTCCGCTGGGGAGGGTCGTAGGATGGTGTAGTCAGGCGCAGTACGCGTAATTACCCACAGTTTCCCTAAACCCTAAACCCTAAACCCTAAACCCTAAACCCTAAACCCTAAACCCTAAACCCTAAACCTAAACCCTAAACCCTGTCGAGCATATTGGGAGGCCAAGGAGGTGGCCGACCTTCGGTCCCTCTCGGCGCCCGTACGTTCGGAGCTGGCCCAGCAGCTTTCGACCTTTGCTGGCCGTGGACTTGGGTTTAGGGTTTAGGGTTTCGGGTTTAGGGTTTAGGGCTTAGGGTTGTGCATGGCTGGGGATGTTTCCCCTTATACTAAAAGCTCCTTAAGGTTTAGGTTTCGGGGTTTCGGGTTTGGGGTTTGGGGTTTAGGGTTTAGGGTTTAGGGTGCAGTCCTTAATAGGGATTATATTGATGTAATAAGGGGAACTCGAATCCCTATGAAGGACGTTTAGCATCAGGGGGGAACATCCCAATGCATGGCTCACTCGAAAGACCGGGGCATATGAGGGTGCGCTCATATCCGAAAGTAGGGGTCTTTTTCTACAAGGGAATCCTACTATTTGGGGGGGTTCTGTATTAGGTCCCCTATGTTCGTAAACCCTCAGGTATTGTGCGATTTTTTGCGCAATTTTGGAATCCTGAGGCCAGGACATCTCAGTCCTGGACTTGGGAGCAGGCTGGGCAGCAGCTTCCATGGAAGCTACAGGGCCAGGTACCCTAAACCCTAAACCCTAAACCCAAGTATGCTGCTGAGGCACGCTCTCCATGCTGTCCGTGATCTTGAAGGCTCTGCCGAAAGGCTCCGTGGCGGAGATGATCTAAAGTATGTGGGCATTTTTTTTGGAGAGTTTCTCTCTTCTAGCACACTCTTGAATTCGGTACTTTAAAGGTTTTCGGTGCCTCGAAGAGTTGTAGACCAGCCGCCAGTTGCTCTTGGAGCGCGAACGCAGAGCGGCAGGTTCTCGGGTCAAGTACACGGCCGTGGACCGAGATGATGAGCTCCTGAAGCAGGCAGCAGCGGAGCGCCTCTTGTCTTTGAGCTTTCCAGAGCCTCCGCCCTAAATACCCTTGAAAGTGAGGAATAGACCGATAGGACCCCTTGATTCATAAAGAACCCCCTGGTGTCGGAATATACCCAGGTTTCTATTTAGGCTCTAGATGCAGGGGCAGCTGAGGGCTGGAATCGCAATTCCAAGCGACGGCGCATGCCTCCCTGCCCAATACATGGCAGCTGCCGGATCGCGAGGCTGGGAAATGTTTCGCAGTCGGCCAGATGGGTTTGGGGTTTCGGGTCTAGTGCTCGGTTTCAGAAGGGGTCTAGTAAGGGTTTTGGGACGCACCCTGCGTGGCGTGCTTCTGAAGGTGTCGGTGACTTTACTGCAGCTCGCCTGCAGAGATCCATACGCTGCAGTTGCTGAGCATGCTTCTTTTGCCTGCGATGGGTACAGGGTACAGCACGTAGGACATGAAATGCAGACACTGGATGACACTATGCCGCCATCAGCTGCACATGCCAAGACGTACCCTAGTGTACTGGAACAGACTACGTAAAACCCAGTTGTTTGCAGGTTCCCTAAGACCTACGCTTACATGTGGTTTGTAGAGCAGTAGCCTACAAAAAGAGAGCAGTTTTGCTTCTATGTCCCCCTTGGGGATTATTTTTTGTTTATATAAAACCATTATAAAACCCAAGAGGATGTTAAACATACTGTTTTCATTGAGGTTCTAAGGGGAGTACAGGCTTGGGATTCTTAAGGTAAACACATCAACCCTAAGCCCTACACCCCATGCAGCCGACCCCCCCCCCCCCCACTGCCGCCCCCCTCTTAAGAGTACTGACCGGTGTGAAGCTAAACCCAGCTTGTCACACATCAAACGTCTGCACGTGGGTGGTTGTCAAGACGATGGTCCCTTTTTGGATCCCTATTATAATGCGGCCCCGAATATTTAGGGTACCCCAAAAGGGACTATAATTTGACAACCGCCCATGTGAATTCATGTCCCAGCTCCTCAGATGTACCATTCTTCCCTTTCCCAACCAACTTTGTCCTTCCATTCCCACGCGGTTTAGGGTTTAGGGTTTAGGGTTTAGGGCTCTGAGCTGGCGCCATGTCTGAAAGCACAGAACAGGCTCAGAACGACCAGCCTGCGTCCAATTCAAGAATTCAACCTAGTTCCAACGTTCAACACGTCGGAATTTCCCTAAAACCTAAACCTTACACCCCTAAACCCTAAACCCTAAACCCTAAACCCTAAACCCTAAACCCTAAACCCTAAACCCTAAACCCTAAACCCTAAACCCTAAACCCTAAACCCTAAACGAAACCCTAAACCCTAAACCCTAAACCCTAAACCCTAAACCCTAAACCCTAAACCCTAAACCCTAAACCCTAAACCCTAAACCCTAAACCCTAAACCCTAAACCCTAAACCTAAACCCTAAACCCATAAACCCGAAGATTCGCTTCCCAAGGCCCGGGGATGCCGTGGAAGTCTTGGCGACCTTGCCGTCCCAGACGCTGGTCGTGGGCCTTTCGCCTGCGATGGACGTTGAGTCACTTAGGGTTTAGGGTTTAGGGTTTCGGGTTTAGGGTTTAGGGTTTAGGATTATTTAGGGTTTAGGGTTTAGGGTTTAGGGTTTAGGGTTTGGGGGGCGCTGCCACGATAGTCCCCATGTGGGTTTTTCTCTAGACTAGGGATTTTTTTGGATTTAGGGTTGAGGGTTTTGGGTAGTCCTCTAAGTTAGGGTCCCTGGAGGATTTTGGGGTTTAGGGTTTGCAAGTCCAGCTTCAAAAGGGTTCAGGGTTTGGGGTTGTAAGGTGCCGTATATTATAGGGGACCCAACAAGCAGGAACCCTAATTTGGAGAGCTACCCACATGGTCCCTTTTGGGAGTTGTCTTTGATTCTGTTTCAACGGTTGATAGGGATTCTAGTACCCCCTATTAGAAGCCCTATTAAGGACTGTTAGTGTACGGGGGAACATTGCTCCTACCATCTGCCAGATGGAAGTTGTAGGGTTTAGGGTAAACGGTTTAGGGTTTGGGGCTCAAGAAGGATGCTCCATCCTCGACCTCATTGACGTTGAGGCGCTGTCAACAGCCTTACGGCAGCACCAGGCCGGGACCATGGCAATGTCGGATATGGACTGTAGCCACGTTTTGGGATGTTCCCCCTTATACTAGCAGCTTCTTGACAGGGATGATGATAGGGGGTACTAGAATCCCTAGTACGGACTGTGAGTACAAGGAGGAACATCCCGAGCCACATTCTGATCTCACGCTGCCACCCCCCCCCTCCCCCCCGGCCCCGTGGCATCTTTGTTCAATAGCCTCATCTCTAAACAAGCCACTTGAAAGGCATGCTTCCAAAGGCTGTTTGAACAGCAAATGTGTTCCAAGCATGCTAGCAGCAGAAGAAGACCAAACCCTAAACCCTAAACCCTAAACCCTAAACCCTAAACCCACTTCGGAGTGGGGCTTTGCTACTTGGCCAGGCGTCGGCCCTGCTTTATTTTCCCATCCACTACGCCGGCGTGACGGTCTTCGAGTCCCCGCGTCAAGCGGACGTGAAGCTGCTCACGGCAGACTACAACCGGTCTTTAGAGTGCAGGGGCCAGGCCCCGAAGAGCTGCTTCTGGGTTTGTTTTGCATCGTATTATATTTTTACATTGTATTTCCCAATATATGCCAGAGGTTAAAAGTATATGGGCCAGCATAGGCGCACCCCCCCCCCCCCCCCCCCCCCCCCCCCTTGGTTTCATGGTGGGTTTTGGGTTCCCTCCCCCCCCTGGCTCTGTGGTTCATGGTCTGTGGTTCATGGGTTAGGGTTTAGGGGTTTAGGGTTAGGCTTTAGGGTTCAGGATTTTCACTCTGGTCCATTGGTTCACTGTGGGTTTAGAGTTTGATTTGGGTTCAAGGTTCGGGGTAATGATAGGTTTACGGTTTCCCCTCTCCCCCCTGTGGTTCGTGCTGGGTTTACGGTTGAGGGTTCAGAGTTAAAGCAGCAAAGGTTTCGGGTTTACCCTTCTCCCTCCCGTCGTTCATTGGTGGGTTTAAGTTTTAGGGCTAGGGTTCAGGGTTTGGGGTTTAGGCTGAGGCTTCTCTGTCCTCCCCCCCCCCGTGGTCCGTGGTGTTTTTAGGGTTAACAGGCAGGGTTTGGTGGGGGGTTGCCGGGGAGGGGGGGGGGGTCGATTACGCGGAACGCGGGCGCATATAGTGGTACAACCATGCAGTCTAGTATAATGATCTGCTGGTAGGCTCTTGGAGAGGAAGCAAGTTGTGCTTTTTGGGTTTGGCAGGTCACGAAGGTGACGGACTTCTACGATTCCTTGGGTGAGACGATCGCTACAGGAGAGCTTGTCTTGGTGCAAAGTACCCGGGCATGGGCTCCTTTGAACGACTTTTTGAGAAGAAAGCCCCCTCGAGCACTCCTGGAATCTGAATGAATATCAGACATGGATATTTGGACACGCCACAAGGCAGTTTTTGTCAGGAATGGTTCACCGTTGATTCGACACAGATATCCCAGCCCTGGAAGATAGGCTCCTTTAAAGACGGGCATCCTTTTCTGTGCTGGCCAACAGGGACGATGGTTTGCCACACAAACACCCAGGTGTGAACGGGCACAGGCACCGGACAGCAAAGACAAAGGATGGATGAGTCCTGGGTTTAGGGTTTAGGGTTTAGGGTTTAGGGTTTAGGGCTTAGGGTTTAGGGTTTAGGGTTAGTGTGTACAGGACTGTTGGGCCTTGATCCCGAGAAGTGCCAAGCAGATAGATTGCCCGCGTAGCACATACAAGTCTGCTACTTCACGAGACAAATTCTAGTTCAGATCCAGGAGGCCAGCTAGATGTAGCAATGCCTTGCCTTGGCAGGATCGTCAGATTGGGTCCTTGACTCGAAGGCTTGGGGGTTTCATGTGCATCTCGATGACTATTATACTATTATGATCACTATTATTACTACCATTATTATTAATCTGTGAGCCAAAGGCCTGCCCCGACCTGTTCAAGCAGCTCGCCTCGTTCATGGCCGTGAACGCACTGGGCCCCCTAGCGAAAAGAAGTCCTCAACTTCCCTCCGCTGACTTTTGCATGAACCCTACAACAGTTTCATGATGCCCCCCCAAAAAGATATATGTATATATATATATATAAATATAGATACAAATATAAATACAAATATAAATATGAATATAAATACAAATATATAAATAAAAATATGTAAACATAAATACATATACATGTAAATATAAATATAAATATAAATAAATAAATAAATATATATATACATACAGGACATACCTTGATAGGCATGATGGTGGGGCACATCCCTCAATTTAATTCCAAGCTTCATTCTCCCAGGAAGTGCGAGCCCTGAGCACAAAACTCCAAAGCCACCCAAAAAGGACAAAAACTCTCGACTCTATGAACAGTGACGCGCGTGCTCTGCCCTTTAAAAATTAAAAACGCACACACACGCACACATGCACACACCCCTCCCTTGGGATGTTCCCCCCTTATACTCACAGCCCTGAATCGGGATTATCATGGGGGGTACGAGAATCCCTACCAAGGAGCTAGTAGTATAAGGGGGAACAATTCCTGTATATTTATATTTATATGTATATTTATATTTATATATAATCCCTACAAAGGAGCTATTAGAAAAAGGGGGAACATCCGCCCCAGAAACCGTGAGTTCGAGGCTTCCATGGCCACGCTGCCGTCGGCGAGGCGGTGGCGGCACTCCGGAGCCCCGGTGGTCTCCTGGCCGAGGACACGGGAGTTGGGCTCCTTGCGAGTTGGGCATTAGGGTTTCGGATGTCCCCCTCTATTTAGGGGGTTCTGAAATACCTTCTTGGGGTCCTTATGATAAGTGGAATCCTACTATTTTGGGGTCTATATTAGGGTCCCTTATTTTCGGAACAGCGCCTTAGAAGGACCCCAGTGCCCGAATTCCCTGCTAAGAACTCGTACTTGTGCCCATGGCTCCGTAGTGGGATTGGCAGAATTTGCCAGAGTGGTCTACAACCTACGACCTGGCGGAATCTTGTGGAAGCATGGTAGAATCAGGCATCGGAACTAGAGTTTGCCGGAGGACGTGGTGCTGAAGGTGGAGAATGCCCCTGGCCTCATCTGGCAGTGCATCCTTGCAACGCACACATGCCTGGCAGCCAAGATGGATTACCTTGGGCGAGTTCCTGGCTCTGCCACGGCTGCCCGGCATTACCCGGCCAAGAGAGAGTCGCCGCTTCAAGAACCCAGGTGTGCTTCACGGGTTTCTCGGATTGTTTGGGTTATTTCCCGTGCAGATGGAGTTGAGGCGGCACCACGGCGTTTGGCTGTGGAGTTCTCTGCGCCGGGCGAGGTCTGCCTGGCTGCTTGGCTGTTGGCTGATGAATAATTATCATTGTTCTTATCGTGGTTGCCACTGCGATTCTACTACTTCTATTCTTGTTATCGTTCTTGTTGTTCCATTCCCTCCATGCTAAGGTTGAAGAGGCTCTTCGTGCACCTGGTGAGGCAAGGGTTGGTGAGGGCAATGCTTGCGAAATGGTAAGCTCCGGGTGCATGATGGATTCTGGTGGGGCTCCGTGGCTCATGTTTAGGGTTTAGGGTTTAGGGTTTAGGGTTTAGGGTTTAGGGTTTAGGGTTTAGGGCTCATCCTGGACCCACTCTGGATCTGGAATGCTTGGCAGGAAGAGGTTGTCGTCAAAGCGAGGTATTCGGCGAAACTTGGTGATTCCTAAACCCTAAACTGTCCCTAAACCCTAAACCCTAAGAACCTAAACCCGAAACCGCGCGGCAAAAACAAATCTGCATGAAGAATGCTCAATCGCTTTCTCGTGGCTCCCAGCACCTGGCCAAACTCAGGATTTCAGCCGGGACGGAAAGGTGCCGCGTTTTGCATCTGCCGACAGTTCACTAGGTCTCATGTCCATTCTTGGGAAGCAGCCTGTACCACGATTACTGACCGATTCTGCCCCTGGGCAGGCGAATGCTGATGCAAGGTCCGGGTACGGAGCCATTGGATACCACACATGCATTCGGTGAGACAGCTTGGCCTTTCAGGCGGGCGTGTGAAATGAAACTGTCGTAGCCTGTGGCATGTTTTGGCTGTAAGGTAGGTGCAAGCTTACCCTTGAACGCTCGCTACCTTGTTCTTCCAGGTACGGCTACTGCTTGGTTGGCTCCGTTGTCCAATCAAACTGCGGGGACCTGCTGCCGGGGACACGAGTTTTCTGCTTTCATCCGCATGCTAGCCATGCTGTCGCGCCACGCTCCGCGGTGAAGAAGATCCCGGACGAGACTCGGATGCCTGAAGCCGCGCTGCGCGGTTTTCCTTGCCCAGCTTCTTGCGCAAGTCGCTCTTGAACGTGAGTGCGCTTCTTATTTTGCACGTCTGTGCTGTCCTTTAATCACTACTGGAAAGGCAGACAAGAAACTCTGTGCCTCCTGGCACTTGCTAAGCTGCAGATGCCAGATCTTTGTTCCTATCACCTCGCTCGCCTCCTCTTCCTCCCGCCACCTCCCGCCATCTCCCGTCGGTTCCCTGCTTTTTCGGCTTTCGTTGAGGACATAAGTGATGAAGATGCGGTATTCTTGGCGAACATGGAGACGGCATGCGCTTTGAGCCAAGATGCCGCCCCTCTCGTCGGTGAGTCCGTGGCTGTTTTTGGTGCTGGCACTGTCGGTGCACTCACTGCAGCCGTATTGGCGCACCAGGGCTATTCGGTCACAGTCATCGACCCCGAAACCGACCGCGTTGCCACCCTCCTGCAGAGATTCCCTCAAATCTCTTGCAGTGCTGGCAAGGACTTCGACGTTTGTGTCGAAGTCAGTGGCTCGGCCGACGCACTGGGTTCCGCGATCAAGTCCTGCCGCCGTGGTGGGACGGTGGTGCTTGGCTACTTGTCTCTCCCTTTCAAGCCCTAAACCCTAAACCCTAAACCCTAAACCCTAAACCCTAAACCCTAAACCACCCAAAATTCTATTGTGAAGCGCTTCCCCAGGGTTCTTGGGCGCAACGTTTTCGGGTTGTTCATGTAGAGAAGACATGAGTAGGCGGGAGTCACTGGAGAACCCCAGACGGCTACAGCACTTAAATTGGGCCCTAGTCTTGGTCATAGTGCTAGTACGACCGCTACCCTACACCCAAAACCCTACACCTAGGCGGGTGGCAAAAGACCCTAAATCCTAAAGTAGGGTTTCCCAATCGTGTGCAAGAAGGAGGCACGATGTCTCGTTTGATGCTGTGTGCTATGGGGGTCGGAAGTTCAGTAATGACATCCCCTTATGGCCCCTACGTATTTATACAACCATCACCCCCAAAACCCTGTTCCAATTATTAAGGCACCTATACTACTTTGTCTCGTGCTTGCTTGTATCTTGTTTTTGAGCCGTTGTCTCCTCGGAAGCAAGTCTGACTTGAACCCATGAGCCTTACCTGCCGTGTGCCAGAGTGAGCGTCGAAACCCCAAACCCGGAACCCTAAACCCTAAACCATCTAAACCCTGAAGCCTGAACCCTGAACCCTGAACCTTGAACCCTACCCAAGAATCCACACGAAGCCGAGGCTCCCTGTACGGAGAGTCTCCGGTGAGTCTTCCCCTGGGTCTCGCCTTCCATCGCTCGGAGGTCTCCCTGAAAGCCTCTCAGGCGTGATCCTTAGGGTTTGGGGTTTAGGGTTTGGGGTTTAGGGTGTAGGGTTTACGGTGCAGGGTTTAGGGCCTCTAAACTCAAGGGTTTAGGTTGCAGTGGGGGATTGGGGGTGCAGTAGTGGATTGGCTGGGACCGGGCCACTGGACAAGGAAGGAGGCCTGTTGCAACAGGGTGTAGGTGACTGAACCTGGCAGGTGAGCCAAATACCCGCGGCACTGTCCACGCGATGGACAAAGGCTGCAAGCATGTGCTGTGCTTGTACAGAGGCAGTAGGCACCCTAGAACCCAAAACCCTGTGTCGTGGGGCTATTTTGCCTTTTTCACTGGAGGGCGTGTGTAAAGCCCTGCTGAGCAACGTCCGAGTCAGCCGGGCAAGTCCCCTGAACCCTCAACCCTAAGCTCTAGACCCTACAACTCCTACCCTAAACCCGAAATCCTAAACAAGCCCTAGACCACCTAGACCCTAAAACCCCTAAACCTGTGAATTCGAGGAGCGCCGATTTGACCTGGCCTGGTCTTTGATTCGGGCACTCAGACCCAAGGAGACTGCATTGATCTGTTGGGCAACTTTTGGTTTTCGGGCTGAGGGCATAGGGCTTACTTAGGGCTTACAACAGGTATCAACTGGCCGTTATTCGCAATGCCTGCATGCAATCTGGGGTCTACTGTTATTCTGTATGAAGAAGTTCCTACCTGCGGATTCGCAAGGCTGTTGGTTGTAGCCACGAGTGCTAGGTCCGTTTTTTTTGCTCCCTCAATCCACAGACGTGTCGGGGGTTATTGGAAGAATGACCCGGCATTGCACCTAATGCTGCAGCACCTGCATGTAGACGCATGCGTGGGTATTGTACCTGTGAAGAATTTCGACAACCGTAAGCAGGACTGATCCGGATTTCCCGTGCGAGCGCCCTCTGCCGTTTTGTTCAGGCATCCAATCACCGATTTCCCCTTCCATCCTCCCTCCCTTCCTGCTTGCTTTCTGCCACAACATCCTGTATTCGCTTCAGTTTCTTTTTGAATATCAGATAGAGGCAGGGCAAGAGCTAGAGCCGAAAATAAAGCTAGGTAGACTAGCAACGCCAACAGCAAGGCCCTACCCTGCTTTCCGCTGCAGAAGACAGGAGTGGATAGGCATGCACCTCGTGCCAATAACCGCTGCCCCGGACGTGTACCGGGATCTCATGAAGCAGGGCCAGGCCATCGGGAAGAGTTTCAGAGCGCGAGCTTTGGAAGTGCACCCTAAACCCTAAAGCCTAAACCCTAAACCCTGCATCTTGAACGTCCCGCGATGCCTTGCCCTCGCCGTTTTCCCCAGGTCCCGGGACCTGATGGCCCACCACGGCAGTGGGTCTTCTCATGCCAGCCAGACGCATGAGCAGAAGCCTCTGTCTATCAGCCGGTGGGCGCAGAGCCCGGAGTAGACCTCCAGGCTCAGGGCGCAGGGGCCTTGTCGCAGCGGTACTTCCGTCAGCTGTTGCACAGACCACCCACAAGTCCAAGCAGAAGTTCCAGGAGGTGACGCGAACTTCACCCCAAGAAGCGCGGGGGCTTTCCAGCATGGGCAGAGGCTGGGGCCGAGTCAGACGGCAGAGGCAAGCTCGGAAGCACTCGGGCCCTGGAGCAAGAAAAAAGAGCCTGCCTTGAGTAGATGGTTTAGGGTTTAGGGTTTAGGGTTTAGGGTTTAGGGAGCAATGCAAGGTGGCCGAGGCTGTTGCATGCAATCCCTGTCTCGCCCGTGCCCTCAAGAGTCTTTTGTGCAGGTGCCTGGCTCGATGGGTCGTGCAACTGCGGATCAATCGCTGTGTCCTCAGCGTGCACTTACGGCAAGGATAGCCCAGGACGCGGCAGCCCTAAACCCTAAACCCTAAACCCTACAACCACTAAAGGTCCCTGGCATGCTCTTTGATGCGTCATCGTGCTGGCTCCAGTTCGACTGCCGAGCTTAGCAAGAACTGCTCCCATGAAAAGTGCCATTGCTGCCACATCCCCCCCGTGGCCGTCATCACACCTGTCGTCATTTTCCATGATCCACTTTGATTGCCAAAAGTCTGCAGAGACATGTGTCGCAACATGTTTAGTCTGCCTAGTTGAGAAGCGTTGGAGGTAGCCCAGCAGGGCAGACCGTGCTGAGCCATGGCTTGGCTGCTGTCAAAAGCAGCCGACACCCTCAAGAAGGCCCAGGCCGGGAGCCCGTTGCGCTAGCGAGAAGCCTGCAGAGAGTGCTTGCAGAAAGCCCTCAACCTGAATCTTAGACGACTACCCCAGGCAGCTAGCTTCACGAGGAGTTCCAGAATGCCCCCCTGCGTTTCCCTAAACCCTAGGCCCTAAACCCTAAACCCTAAACCCGGAGCCCAATGGAGTCCAGGGGAACCGAGGGCGGGGGACTTCTCTGTGCCAGGAGAAGGTGGACCAGCTGCAAGACTCGGACTTTGTGCAGAAGTTTGCAGAGGCCCCGGCGTCTTCGATGTGCACTTGGGTTCGTTTCTTCTTCTGATTATTCTGATGATTCTTCTTATTATGACCCTACACCCTAAACCCTAAACCCTAAACCCTAAACCCTAAACCCTAAACCCTAAACCCATGTTTGTCCGCCTCTGCCGGCGCGAGCCAGCCGATGTCCTCGTGGGGTCTCCTTGTGCAGGTCGACTTCGTTCAGAAAGCTCGTGATGCTGCCAATCAGGCTGGGCTGCGGCTAGAATACCTTCCTTCCAAAAATGGCACCCAAGTGGTTCGACTGGGTACTCTAAACCCTAAACCCTAAACCCTCAACCCTAAACCCTAAACCCTCAACCAATTCTTGGACGGAGCCCTTTGGAGGTGGCGGAGGCGGCCAACAAGGTCTCCGAGAGCGCCGCTATGTCGAAGCAAGAACCATGCTGAGTACCATGTACGGGTTACAAGTTTAGGCTTCAGGGTTCAGGGTTTAGTAGGGGAGCCCGGAGCTCATGGAGTGTAGACCCCCAAGCGCTGAGAGACCATGTGAGCCCAGCCTTCCAACACGCGACGTCCGAAAAAACGACGAAAGCTATGCAGTTCGCGAGCCCAGAAGGCCGAAAGCGACCACAGCTTCGCAGAAGCCGAGCACACACGTCCAAAAAGAGCGGACAGTTCCGCATTTGGCGAACACAGACGCCTAAAAGCGACACATGCTTTGGGGAATTGGGCAGTGCAGACAGGTGGCACCCCGAAGGTAAATTTCGATGGAGACGTCGCGCTCCTCACATGTATTCCGCGACCCCTGAACTAGTACAAATATATAAACATGTAGAACTATTTGTAAATAGATATAGGCCAGTAAGTAAAAAATAAATACATGTACATACATATATCTATATGTATATACATATATATATATATATGTATTGTATTGCATTGTATTGTATTGCATTGTATTGTATTGTATGGTATGTATAGAATATACATGTACATCTATACTCTCTCTCTCTATATATATGTATATTTTCCCTGTATGTGTGCTTGTTTTATGTTTTGCCGAGGTTCAGGCAGAGTATCGGCGGACCTTCGAGGAGCTGGACTGCCAGATCTACACCCTGCACGCCGGCGTGAGATGGTTGACACATTGACACATGGAGGGGGTTTAGGGTTTAGGGTTTAGGGTTTAGGGGCATGTGGACCCAGGCAACCTTTGACAAGTGCCTTGGACTCCTACACCCTGGCCGTAAACGCTCCCATGGTATACGGTATGGGATACACTTGGGGTACTGGGAACCCCTAAACCCTACTTGAACCTGCTGAACTGTAAGGGCACGAGACATCTCAGTTTTCCCTTCCAGTGCGTGGCAGAAAGGAACTCTGAACCTAACCCAGCAACGAACCCCAGGCGTCCAGATCTGGTGATCATGGAGTACCCATCCGCGGAAACCATTGAGCGGCTAGTGGCTTCGATAAAATTCGCCTCGCGTGCTGACTTGGCCGGTCATTGTCAGCCTTTTTGTTGCCAGCACTTGGCGTCCCAGGCCAAGCGACTCAATGAGTCATACGCGCAGAAGATGCTGATCTTCAACTTCTCAGAGGACCCGTATGAAAGCGGCAAGTTCGATGGGGAGGCCCGGACATGCAAGACTCAGCTCCGAGGCAAGAGGACTTGCCCTAAACCCTAAACCCTAAACCCTAAACCCTAAATCCTAAACCCTAAACCCCAAACCCTAAACCCTAAACCCTAAACCCTAAACCCTAAACCCTAAACCCTAAACCCTAAACCCTAAACCCTAAACCCTGACGGAAGGTCTTGGACATCAGCATGCAGAAGATGGAGGTGCCACCTCTGACGCATGTCTGCAACCCCATCACCCCACAAGGGTCTCTTCGCCCATCCGTGCCAGTTCCTCAACCTTGAACCCTGAACCCGAAACACGAAAACCCTGAAGCCAAAACCCTAAACCCTAACAGGCGCTAACCCACGGTAATCCCTCTTCAGTTGCCCCGTGGAGCATGGCCAGACGGGTAGCAAAAACACCCCAACCCAAAGCCAGGAAGCTGGTGGTGGAGCTCTGTCTTACGGCCAGCCAGTGGCTGGCAACTGACTCTGGCAACCTCCTGGTGCTGCACTGCCGCTCAGGCCTCCGCCGTTTCTAGGGAGGTACTGGGAGGTTCATATGGGTACTTATAAGTAGGGTTATAAGTAGGGTAACTATGATTATATCCTTATTTAGGGTACTTCTAACCAGTACCCATGAGCCTTCAAGTAGGTAAGGAACGAGGCGAGCAATCTTTCTACAGATCAGGTCAGACGCCACAAACGAAGCCAAAGGAGGAGATGAGCGGCTCGAATGCCGTGCCCAACACTTCGCTTTGGCGGGAAGCGCCCCTGCCGTTTTGGAAGGGAACACCCTTTTCGTGCTCGTGCGGCGGCGACCTCAACTAAGTCCAGCCACATCGACCATTTACTCCATTAGTACTTTACGCAAACCCGTACGATGTTCATGACCCAGTACGTGTCCAAAAAATGGCTGAAGGCAGAAAACAGCTCAAATTACATTTGCTGAGGCGCTCCAACTTGGTGTCAGTCGCTGAGACTACGTCGTTCGCACTGTTTTTTTTTACATTCCGGCACACATTTCCCTGAAAGACTTGCGACTCGAGTGTTTATGTAGGTTGCGCGATGGATTCATTTCTTGTGAATTTGCGCCCGACCTGAATGAATTTGTTATGCTCCCCAACAAGCGCGCACACGCGCGCACACGCGCGCACACGCGCGCACACACACACACACCCTCCCACTTGCTGCTGGAGATCCTAGCTCTTTCTTTTCTCTCAAGACGTGCGGACGTCATGTACAAATTTAGGAATCGAATTTCTGTTGGTTTGGTGTATAGCTTCCAGTTCTGACTTGAGCAGCGCAGCTCGCTCAGCTATGCACCCAGGAATGAAACGGCATGCCAGCGCAGACTTAGACCCCAAGAAAGCTACCAGACAGCGCGCCGCTGGGCGCCACCCTAAACCCTTAACCCTAAACCCTAAACCCTAAACCCTAAACCCTAAACCCTAAACCCTAAACCCTAAACCCTAAACCCTAAACCCTAAACCCTAAACCCTAAACCCTAAACCCCAACCCTAAACCCTTTAAGCCCCTTAAACCCTGCCAGGCTATGGCCGGTCTGGCCTCTTTGGGGCTTGCTTCGAGTCCTTCCGAACACGTCGGAGCCCCAAGGACCGCTGATTGAGGTTGCAGTCACAATCATCAGGGTTTAGGGTTTAGGGTTTAGGGTTTAGGGTTTAGGGTTTAGGGTTTAGGGTTTAGGGTTTAGGGTTTAGGGTTTAGGGTTTAGGGTCAGAAGAGTTCTAAGAAGGATGATGGTAGGTAGGCAAGTGAGTGAGTATGATTGGATGACGTCATAATCTTAAGGTAAAACACCAGAATAGGAGCATTTGCTATCAACCAGGAACTCATCAGAAATGTAGAACGACAGGATGATTTAGCATCACAATGTTTGGGTAATTGACGAGCAGTGAGTGTTTCTTAGGGTAGGGTAGAGACAGTGGGTGTAGGGTTAGAGGGTGATCTTTTGGTTTTTTTTGAGGGTTGAAAGGGCTTTCTGTTGGCAGTTTGGAGTATGTTTGGCTGTTGAAGTGCTCGGTAGCTATTGCTTGATGAATGGATGCGCTTGCATGCAGGAAGCTTTGCAAACCATCACCGAGCGTTTGCCGGTGCAGCTCTTGCCGTCTCAGCAACGGTATTTGGGAATCCTGGCTCATGTGGGCAAAAGCACAGTAGCCTTCAGGAGCACGCAGGGTACTTACTGTCTTCTTTCTTATATGGGAGAATGCATGCAAAGCTAATCTGTCCACCTCATCGTCCTGGAAGTTAAGAGCGATTGCGGAAAGCCAAGGATACTTCCACCAGTTCTTGGAGGCTTGTAGACCTGCTCTGAACTTCATGGAGCTAGTTTTCCGAAGCTAACGCCAGCCTGCAGGGCGTCACGCCGCAGCCGAAACGCTTACACCTGTCCAAGGCTGGTTGTTGTCTTTTCAGTACATGTCGAAGGTATCGGCTTGCCCCAAGGGTACGAGTACCCAGGTGGTCAGCGTGCATGGCCCAAAGCGTTGTAAGAGGCTGCCAAGCGTGACTTGTGGCCACGAAGCTGTTGTGAGGTTCTGCTGAGCGGTGTGCCAAGCTTTGAAGCAGAGGGCGCCTCGGCCCAGTCAGATGCAGAGGGTCCGATCGGCCTTACTGTCGCTTTGACACGCTGCAGCATGACTGCGCATCCTCATGCGCTGAGGAAGTGTGGCTTTCCGACCCTTCATAGAAGTGTGGGTTGCTGGAGAGCTGGCATACTCCTCCTTCAAAGGCGGCAAGAGCGATGAGGCACGCGGTTCTGGACATGTACATCAGCCTGGACTTGTCATGTCGTTCGTGCACCGCGCTGAAAGCTACCGATAACGCTAGTGACTTTTCTCGCTGTTGCATTCACAAGGCGAGCTTACTGTGGCCAGGTCGTGTGGCCCAGCAGCTACGCTTCCAGTGACTCGGCGCGCGCCTCTGCACAAGCGCCTGCTTGCACCTTGCGCCATGTGCGGGATTGTGCCAATGACGCGAAGCACAGTTCCATGTGCAGGTAGTGGCCTTTCCACTCCCTTCGCAGCTGATCGTCTTCGGAGATGTCCTGATTCAGGTGGGCTCCTAACCCCTGAACCCTAAACCCTAAACCCTAAACCCTGAACCCTAAACCCTAAACCCTAAACCCTAAACCCCGTTGGTGTGGGAGGTCTTTCACCTCTATCTGGATGCCAAGCGGGAGCTGGCCATGAAGTTGGCTTTCCACACGAACTTCATCACGGAAGGCCACCCCGTTTATGGGCATTTCCCAAAATAAAGGTACCCCGAATATGCCGAAATATACTATTGCCCTTATTAAAGGAACCCCCCCAAAGGGTACCCCGCTTTCTCAGGGAATACTACTATTCTTGGGGTCTATATATTAGGGGTCCCCTATTTTTCGTAAACCCCCAAATCGGTTGCTCGGTCAGGTCTGCAGCTGAGCAAGTTTGAGCTCGATGCAGCGTGCACGGACGAGCGCTTTACGGACGACTTCTTTGTGGACCTGGTCTTCGAAGAGGCACCCTTATGGCCCTAAACCCTAAACCCTAAGCCCGAATTTTTGTCATCCACCGTGTGCCACATTCAGCAGATTGCGCCTGTGAGCCGGGGCCCACTGAGGTGCCGAAGAACGAAGACTCGACCGAGGAGGAGGAGAAGGCTCCAAGCGCTGTGAGGTAGTGCAGCATGCAACCCTAAACCCTAAACCCTAAACCCTAAACCCTAAGGGGTACCTTTTTTGGGCCCTTATGATCAGGGCAGAATGTGCAACATGCAACTTGGGGGTTCCCGACATTGGGGGGGGGTACCTGGTTTTGGGCCCTTACGATGGACTCTGAGGCAGTGCAACATGCAACTCAGCGGTGCTTCCGAAATTATGGGGGGGGGGGGTGCCTTATTGGGGTCCTTACTATACGGGGATCCGACTAGTTTGGGGATCTATCTTTGGGGGTCCCCTAATTTTCTGCGTGTGTCCACGAGGTTCAGCAGGCTGCAGCCGAGGATGCCGCGATTTTCGAGAAGGCGGGCCTTACTTGGAGGTCCGTGGGTACTTAGAAGTGGGGTTATAAGTAGGGAAACGGTTTATTTAGGGTACCTATGGTTAGAACCTTATCTAGGGTGCTTAGAAACCCCACTCATAAGTACCCTGACGCCATATGGGGGTTTACGATCATCAGGGGCCCCTATAAAGACCCCTCAAAATCGTAGGATCCGCAGTAGCGTGAAGCCTGCTGCTGCAGAGAGTGCTTGCAGAAAATCGTAGGAACCCCATATAAAGAGGGCCCCATAAGGTGCCCCCATTATACCGTTAAAAAAACCCAACATGAGACCCTTTCAGCAAAAAGGTATCAGCTTTTTTAAACCCTAAACCCCAAAAACCAAAAACCCTAAACCCTAAACCCTAAACCCTAAACCCTAAACCCTAAACCCTAAACTCTGTGCTTGGGCTTTGGGGCACCTTGGGCTCAGGCCCGCGCTGCCTCTGTGAAGCTCCGTGAAGAGGCCCGGAGCTACCAAGCTCTTGCAGAGCCTTGCTTCGGGTCTAGGGTTTAGGGTTTAGGGTTTAGGGTTTAGGGTTTAGGGTTTAGGGTTTAGGGTTTAGGGTTTAGGGTTTCGTAATTTAGGGTTTAGGGTTTAGGGCTCGTAGCATGGGCATGAGTTGGGATGTTCCCCCTGATGCGAGCAGTCCTTCGTAGGGATTTTCATCGTGGGGGGGTACCTGAAATCCCTATTGAAAATCGTCTAAAGGCGAACATCCCCCAAGGCCTGAGAGAGAGCTTGGCATGGAAAGAAGATATGGGAGGATCATACCCTAAACCCTAAACCCTAAACCCTAAACCCTAAACCCTAAACCCTAAACCCTAAACCCTAAACCCTAAACCCTAAACCCTAAACCCTAAACCTCAGAATCAGCAAATCCAGGCTGCACAGCAGGCGGCGGAGGCGGAGGATGTCCAAGGGGAGCCGGAGGGGGACGTGGAGGCCGAGCTCGAGGCCGGGAGGCACAAGGAAGTACTTGTTTGAGACTGGCTGGTTCTTAGTAGCCAATGAGGGAATGAGGAGCGCTTATATCATCCCTTAAAGGGTATATGCAGGGCCCTAATCATGAATTCCCTCATTCCCTACTAAGAACCAGGAAGTGCAAGATGCTGTGAGAGTTGGTCTGAACCCCCAAACCCCTATAAAGTGGGGTTTAGAGTGCCCTCCGCTGAGGCCATGCTGCTGCGTGGTGGCCCTGCCGAGAGCCCTAAAGAAATGACGAACGGGGGAGGAGGCCTCTTTGAGCGTTGTTTCCCCGGGTTCTGAGTCGGGAAGGAGGGAAGCAGGGGGCCCTGCATATACCCTTTGAGGGATTATCTAGGGTACCTCATTCCCGCATTTCCCTACTAAGAGCCAGTTGTGAGTGTTGGAAGGGGAAGTAGAACAGGGTGCCTAAACCCTAAACCCTAAACCCTAAACCCTAAACCCTAAACCCTAAACCCTAAACCCTAAACCCCACTGTCTTGCAGGCACAGGCGGCGACGAGGAGCGATGGCCGGGATCCGTTTCCCAGGTAGGATGAGGGGGACCCTGAAAAAGGGAACCCTCAAAAAGAGGGACCTCATTCAGAGGGGGTAGATCCCCAAGGGTCCCCCTAATCCGATCCCCTACAGTGAAGCCCCTAAACCTAAACCCTAAACCCTTAAACACTAAACCCTGAACCCTAAACCCTAAACCCTTACAGTCATTTCCGGGGATTGGTCCCTGCAATGTGGCCTGAGTGTCAGCTAGGCGGGTGGCAAAAAAAAAACCCTAAACCCTAAACCCTAAACCCCAAACCCTACACCCTAAACCCTAAACCGGGCGAGGAGCTGCGCCAGGCGCTGGCTGCGGCCGCAGAGGAGTCGGAGCAGAAGGCGGGAATGACCCAACAGAGCAGTAGCTGAGCAGTATATCTGATCGATTTTTGTATATATATATATATTTATTCTTTTCTATTCTATTCTGTTCTATTCTATTCTATTCTATTCTAGATTATTTTATATCATATCATATCATATCATATTATATTATAGTATATTATATTATATTATATTATATTGTATTATATTATATTATATTACATTATATATACATATACATTTTCGCATGCATTTGTGGAAGTTCACTGTGGAAGGCTGTAGTGAGGTGAGGCAGGAGTTCTCCTTGCTCCGAGGCTGACAAGCCAGTCGAGAAGGTCGTTGAGAGAGCGCCGGCAGCAGCACAAGCAGCTGACAAGTCCGGTGCGAAGTCTGCCGAGATTGACACGCTCTTCAGTGACCTTGGCACTCGAAATTTTTTCGAAGCAAGCATCTGCAAAGCCGTGCGTTGCCCTTTTTAGCGAGCACAAGCTGCCTGGTTACGCGCTCCGCAACCATGTGTGCTGGAGGGTTGACCATGGTTGCTTGCGTTGCCAGTCTCTGACCGGCCCACACGGACCTTTAAGATATAATGAGCTCAGGTGAGTTTGATGCTGTCCTGGCAGGGGGCACGAAAGGCCGTTCGAGTGTGAGCTTGCTGAGAGCTCGCGATTAAGAGTGATATAGAAGTTAGAGCTCACGCACTATCCGTGGGCCGTGGGTTACAGGAGTATGCAGATTGGCACGCCAGAGTCGCATCCTGCAGACAGGCGATGCGGCGAAGGGCGGTGGCTACAGCGAAGCTCCTTCAAAACCAGCAGCTTCCACAAGCAAAGCTGCTGAGAAAAAGGCCACTCCAATCCGAGAGTGCTCCATCCTTGATGAACGATTGAACTTAGCTCTCGTGTTCAATGCAGGACATGTTTGCCGAAGTGGACGACTTTCTGAAGGAACTAGATGGTGGGACGGGCAGTGGCACGAAGTAGACTGGTCACCAGGTTCACTACCGCAACATTTGAGCTCTTCAATCCTTCTGTGCACATTTTGCAAGCCTATTCGTGCCATGCAATGCACATAGTTTGTAGCGTAGTTGCAACATGCACTGTTGCTGGACGCATGTCCCGCGATCAGTTTCACCAAGCTCAGTTTGAAGAAGTACGACCCAGACGTCAACGGTCTGTCCCGACGTTGCAGACCCCCATGTTCTGCGCGGCAAATGAAAACACGTGCTCCGTACGCTTGCTCTGTCTTAGAATCGGGGGGCGGGCGCTCTGAACATGCGCAGCACTGCTAGAACATGAGAGGTGACAAGTGAGGTTGCCGCGATGTGTGTGTGTGTGTGTGTGTGTGTTTGTTTTTGTGTGCGCTTCCGAGGTCTGACGCCGGTGGTTTGGAGAGTGGAGCACACGTGTGCGGGGACAAAAAAGTAGAATCGCTTGTGCGCCATGTCTCCCATTTTGTGCACCCCCGCCACGCCACCACAACGCATCGTTACCATGCTGCGGTAATCGGTCATGGTTATGCTTTCGCCATGCAAACCTGGGGCTTTCAGCCAATTCTTAGTCCGTTTGTCCGTTTGTCTTGGGTGATCTGGATCGCATGTTTGCATGGACCCTTCGTCGCTTCTAGATTGCGGCTGCTGATCTGCTTGAGAATCGCTGTTTCCTGTAGTTTGTTGGTTCCTGCTTTGTTTTGTCCCAGGACATCCCAGTATCGAACGTCAGAACCTCCAGAACCTCCCCCTCCTCCTTCCTCATCCCTCCTCCTTTTTCCCCTCTTCCTCCTACTCCTCCTCTCCTTGTTCCCCACCCCCCCTTCCTCCGCTCCCGCTCTCACTGCCATGATCCACAGTCCTACACCCAGGAGCCAGAACGACCACCGACTCATGTCGCCCGCGTGCTGACCCCGAGACCCCATCGACGACGACTGCTACTACCAGCTGCTGCAACTGCTAAATTGCTTCTCTTGCTCCTGCTAATCGTAGGACTGCTGTTGCTACGTACTCTGTTCTTACGCGTCCTCCAATTGGCTCCGAAGTAGGAAGTAGTAAGTAGTCTTCGTCGTTGTCGTGACAGTAGCAGTTAGCAATAGCAGAGCAAGAGCATGCGCAGGTCGCTCGACGACGAGACGCGGCAGTTCTTGGAGCCTTGGCCCGCTCAAGTACTTGAAGTCCAGACGCTCCGGCCATGCAGTTCTACTATTCCTATCAGTTGCTATATCACGAACTTATAAGACATAGTACAGTTGCTATATCCCGAACTTATAAGACATAGTACTACCAATAATTAGAATAGCTTCTTCGGAGCTGCCCAGGATTGTTTTTTGATACCTGATGCTTCCCAGGAGAGCTTGCCCGGGGACCTCAAGAGTGAGGTGGGCAGAAGCAAACCCGAAACCCTAAACCCGAAACCCTAAACCCAATACCCTAAACCCTATACCCTAAACCCTAAACCGCTTTCCTCTTAGGTCTTGTATGGCTTCCACCCCAAGGATGGCAAGTGCGGGGCTCGGTGGTGGCACCGAGACGAGTAGAGTCGCGTGGTCACTTCTCTGCGGTTTAGGGTTTAAGGTTTAGGGTTTAGGGTTTAGGGGTTTAGGGTTTAGGGGTTGGGCAAAAGGGTCTAGAGTTTAGGGTTTAGGGTTTAGGCAAAAGGGTTTAGGGTGTAGGGTTTAGGGACCCTGTTGCAAAAGAGGGTCAGGGTCCCTTTTGGGGTACGGTTCCGATTGTTTAGGGTACCCAACAAGATAACCTTGAGAACTGACCTCGTAGAGGATGAGGTCAGAAAGCGTCAGCTTTGCAGATTGATGGTCACAGTCCGTGTGCTGGAGTAGAGTACGGAAACGTTTGTTGAGTGCGGCGGATTGGATTGCCACCTCGATTCTTCGCATGTTCGATGCACAAGTTCGCGACCCAATGGCAGGCAAGATCCAGGAGTGCAAATTCGAAGGTTCGCACAGAGCATTGCGGGGCGCCCGAGTGTCGTCCTGCTTGCTTTGTGCTTCAGTAGCACAGCCTTAGGAAGAGGCACTGTCGCTCGAAAGCAAAGGGTGGGGCGTTGCATCATGCAACTGCCTTACAGCACTCTTCAGCTGAGGCAGCAAGTGACAGCAAGTGCCCTGAGGCGGAGAAGTCAGGCGTCGTCCTGCCACCGGCACCTCCGCGCCGCCCTGAGCTAGGGTTTAGGGTTTAGGGTTTAGGGTTTAGGGTTTAGGGTTTAGGGTGGTGGCGAAGGGGGCTGAGAGGTCAGCAGCAGAAACTAAGGTTGAGGCTGGGTGCGATGTCAGCCACACCCAGTCCAATGCCTTTGGCACACGCGGGGGACCTCACATAGCACTACTCTTTGCCTAAGAACCCCAAAAGAATTCAAAAAAACACAATAATCCCTATATGACCCTTAGTAAGGAAGAGTATTAGATTTTTTTGGGGGTTCTTAAGGCAAATAGTAGCGTAGCATGACATCCCGGAGTGCTGTGATTGGATTTGCCTGGCTGCGAGAACTTGACCAGCTTGCACTCGTGTCCATCTTACGCACACTGGCAGTCTCTCGGAAACTCGCGTCATGCACACGTTGCCGAGAAGCCATACGTGCCGTGCGCAAGTTCAGATCTGAAGGCAGTCGCACATGTCTAGTGCAGCAAGTGGCTACTTTCTGGCGCGCATGTGCTGGTATCAGAAAGCGGCAGCATGATGCAGCACATGGTGCGAGCTCATCGTCACAACAGCCAGTGCGACCATGCGGGGCATCTACCCCAAGCTACGCTCTTTAAGGGTTTCCTGTGGATGTTCGACGCGCGGGAGACCGACCCCTTCGCGCTGGAATGCAGCCCGGCGCAAGCTGATGCTGCAGCTTTGGACTGGCGATCTGTGACAGTTGTAGTCCGCATGTACTCTTTGCCGGGAGCCCTGTGACTTATTGTAGCTTTGTGAGCTCTTGATGCTCTCTCATGTGCAGGATCTGGCGTTGGAAGTTGGCGCCGAAGTCTTTGTGCAGACTGTACAGGCTTGGACCCTCTCGCTGCTGTGCCTGGCTTGCTTCCAGATGCAGTCTCATGAGGAAGCGCGCCGAGACATGGGTTTCTGCAGGTTCATGGGTACTTGTAAGTGGGGTTAATGAGTAGGGTAACTGTAATGATAGCTGGTTGAAGCCAGCAAACGGGTACTTATCATGACATAACTACCCACCCAGACCCCTGGGAGGTTCCAAAAGATAGATCCCCTGAAGGGTTCCTAAAAGTGACCCAATACCAGTATAGGGTACTTATCAGTCTGCTCATGACTCATGACATAACTACCCATGAACCTCAAAGTAGGGCGCGGCGAAGGCACTCGTGGCCCTCGCGGCCTTCGGCCATCCGCGTGCCATCCGCTCAACACCCGCCCGCAGGATGGGTTTAGGGTTTAGGGTTCGGGGTTTAGGGTTTAGGGCTTGCCGGCATGCGTCCAAAGGCCTGGCTCAAAAAGGGTTTAGGGTTTAGGGCTTGCCGGCATACGTCCAATGCCCTTGCTCAAAAAGGGTTTAGGGTTTAGGGTTTAGGGCTTGCCGGCATACGTCCAAAGCCCTTGCTCAAAAAGGGTTTAGGGTTTAGGGTTCAGGGTTTAGTTAGGGTTAGAGGGCTTTACCGTTCCAGCATGGGCTATGGCACCCTATAGGCCCTGTACAGGGTTGATTATAGGGACTAGAGGGCCTAGTAGCCCATCCTGGTTAGAAACCCCATTCGCATGCCACAGCAAGCTGCGCTTCCTGTCTTTTGCTCGTGATCACTGTGTTCAGTTGTTGAGCTCGTTCTCGCTGTTGCTTCTCGTGACCCCTAGTAGTGAGTCTTTTCAAACGTCTTGGAGGATCACCTTGACCGCCTTAGAGAAGGTGTACAGAGAGAGACCCTAAACCTAAAACCCCAAACCCCAAACCCTAAACCCGAAATTGACGGCTCCCTGAGGAATTCCGCGCTGCGTCAGCACAAAGGTGACCCAGAGAAGGCTGCCGCCGAGGCTATCGAAGAGGACCTTAAGCCGGGCTTGTGTGTCGAATGCCCAGCATCTGGTGGTTTCCGAAATTAGGGGGGTACCTTATGGGGATCCCGATTACAAGGGGAATCCCACTCTTTGGGTTTTTTTTTAAAGGTCCCCCTATTTTCGTAAACCCTCCACATGTCATTGCAGGACGATAGCGCAGAGCTCCACGAGCGGCTGCTTCGACTGGTGCCCGTCATAGGTGCGGCTTTGCAGCGTCGCACGTCCTCTGGCACTTTGATTGCTGTGTAGGTTAGCTGGAATGTTTAGGACAGCCTTCACTACGCAGCAGTGGGTGGTAGAACTGGCATCATACGATGCCTGCGGCCATCGCCGCAGGACTGCCAGCGTCGTTGCTGTACCCGCTGTGGACACTGCTTCGCAGGCCTGCCGTTGCGGCCTTCCTTGTTGCATCACTTCCATGGCCCGCGAATTCTCAACCACGACGTAAACAGCATGTGCGACAAGCGGGTTTACGAAAATACGGGGCCCTTAGTATGAACGCCCCAAATTGTAGGATTCCTTGATGATAAGGACCCCAATAAGGTTACCCCTCATCTCGTAAACCCCCGGATGGCCTCGGGTATCCTCGGGTCATCCGTGGCAGTCTAAAAACCGGCCGACGGCGCGTGCACAGAGGACCTGCCTCGTTGCCAGCCTCTTTGGACATGACCTGCAGCAGGACGGTTCTTGAACCGATAGGGATACGCAACCGCACGAGCAAGTTGTGCAAGACGGCTTAGAAGCTCAGATCCTTCACTTCTATCCGGGGGCTTTAGATCCTCGTTTTTTTCACAAGTCAAGTACACTGGGCTGTTAAGTTGTGTTTGTTTGTATTCGTTGGATTCGTTGGTCTCTGTTGATTTTGTTATTGTCATTCTCTTGCCCTTCTCTGTCTTGTTTTTTGTTTTCTTGGGTCTTCATCCTTGGTGCAAGCGTATCTGCACTTCCTGCCATGAGCCCTGGCTTACAGCACATCACTTGTGCGAGCCACCCTGCTCGCGAACCGAACTCCATCACCAGGTACCCAGGATGCACCAACTTGGATCTGAGCGCATATAGTTGACGAGCCATGACCGATGAACAACCCCCTGCCGCAACCACAACAGTACTGGGTTCGCCTTTAAACCCCTTCAAAAATGTTAGAATGTCGGGTCCCGTATAGACCCAAGTGCTCCGACCAAAAACCCTAAACCCTAAACCCTAAACCCTAAACCCTCAGGGTAGAAGCCTCGCGGCTGCCCCTGCGGCGGAGTGCTTCTGGTTGTTCTGCGTTAATGTTCAGGGTTTAGGGTTTCGGGTTTAGGGTTAGGGTTTAGGGTTTAGGGTTTAGGGTTTAGGGTTTCGGGTTTAGGGTTTAGGGTCGGAGCCTGGGCCTGCATGCCAAACATAGCTTAGTACATGTTAGGCCCTCTCTAACTTTGCCTCCTGTGGCCGGGCCTACGACTTCGTCGTGGTCTTCTTGTGGCCTTCATTCGTCTACTTGTTGTTCCTATTGGTCTTCATATGTTTGTATAGACCCTGTGGATTTTGGATCCCAAACCGAACTCAGAAATCTCTCTGAATTCGACAACCTGTGCCATGGCCCAGGAGGCCGTGTTGGCCGAGGTCCTCGTCGCCGCTGGAGGCTTCCTGGGGCGATTGTCGCAGTCACGGTCGGTCGAGGGGATTAGGTTTTAGGGTTTAGTTTAGGGTTTAGGGTTTAGGGTTTAGGGTTTAGGGTTTAGGGTTTAGGGTTTAGGGTTTAGGGGATGCAACAATGAGCTCTTTCCCGGCACGCTCACCCAAGCCTGCAAAAAGGGTTTAGGGTTTCGGGGTGTGGGTGCCTGCAGGACTCGGAACAGTGCCCGCAGCAGAGCGGCGTCTGGCACCCTGACTGGATGAAACTCTTCCGCGCATATCCCGCCGAGTTTGCCCGCGTTTCCGGGAGAGACGGTTCCTGCAGCTGACGATCTGGCGGCACGCGAGGAGATTGCCGCCAAAGCATTCTGGCAGCGCATCGCCGGGCGCTGGGTAGCTTGGGCAGAACTGTAGACTCGGTCTGCTTCATGCAGAAGAACGCTCTCCCTGAGGCAAAGTCCTTGCCTGTGGCAACTCTCCTGTCGGAGATTCTCGACGTCCAAGGCCGGCTGTTTTTGCGACATCTTGGGTCGGGGAAATTCTTGCGTCCATGAAACGAGACTCTGAGAGGCAATGCTGCCAAGCTGGTTTTGCAGCATTTTCGCAATGGACCCGGTGTGCAGGCCGGGGGGGGGGGGGGGGGTTCTTTACGTGGGGTTGTGTCCAGATACAGGCAGTGCTAGGCTCCTGTTGCTCTCGTACGAAGTTCGGAAAAAGAAGCAAGCTGGTGGGCAGCTGACACCTGAAGTCGCATGCCTTGGACAAAGTGCTGTTGACTTGTAGAATGTACTTGAAGGCTCACGGGTGCTTATACTTATACGTGGAGTTGTAAGTACCCTTGGTTAAGGTCATATCCATAGTTGCCCTACTTATAAGCCTACTTCTAAGTACCCTAATAAGTACCCTAAACAAGGTTATAACCATAGGTACCCTACTTCTAACCCTACTTAGAAGTACCCTAATGAAACTCCAAGCCCTAAGCCCTAAGCCCTAAGCCCTAAGCCCTAAACCCTAAACCCTAAACCCTAAACCCTAAACCCTAAACCCTACTGAACGAGCAGGACTTCAGCCAAGGGCTCGATCCCGAGCCGACGATGGCCGACATCTTGCAGCTGCTCCGTGACACCGGGAGGCGCATATCTGAAAGTTGTCTACTTCTACGACTACATCGATAAACTCATGATATTGTATATGCGTGTATGATTAAGAATATACTTTAAGATTGCATTTATTGTATTGATATGTTGGTATGATATGATTGTATTACCGCATGACTATGAGTGTGTGCGCAAAACAAGCAGCGTTCCAAACGTTCACCTTGTCAGCGAAAAGGCAAACTCTGGAAGCAGCAGCCGGTATGTCCAGGAGAGACGCTGCGTGTGTAGCCGCAGCATCCATCTCGCCACATCTCGAAGTTCACGAAAACAAGGGACCCCTATAATGGACCCCCAAATTAAGGTAACCCTAATTTCGGAAACCCCCATGTAGTTGAAGAGCTTTGCACGAGCACTGCGTCCTTTGTATCGCTGGCTCCGCATGTCCTCTCCGCGTGCGGGCCAACGAGCATGACACGGGCTGCATGCGTATTCTTGCACGTCTTAAAGCAGCGACTTCAAGCCCTTCCCTTTGCCCATCAGCACGTTCAACTCGCAGGACATGGCGTCCCGAGGCATGATGAAGATGAGCTGTTGGCCATGCTGCCTTGGCCAACGAGCCATGCAGACACTTCACCTCGGCCTTGCGGAAGATGTACAGTGGCGCAGATCACAAGGCAAGAAATCGGCGAGGCAGATATTCACATATCACGAAAGCTAGCCTCTGAGGGCTAGCGGAGTATCTTGCTTAAGCGAAGCTTACAACCTGAAGGGTATACAGGGTCCCCGGAGGCTCCGCCACGAAACGCAGCAAACCCGGTCGATTTCCGGTGGCGAAACACAGGTGTTGGGGAAACAGGCTGGCGTTCATTTCTTTCGTATATTGGGTGCAAATGAACGCCGTTTTCTGTGGATCCCAGGCCACAAACAAGCCCCCCAAGAAAAGACTCAGAAGCCTTGATGTTGACTTGAGTCCGGCGTCCCTCAAAGCTGGATTGGACAGACTTCGCCTGGTGAGTGCAACATCTGTTGTGGTGTCATGCGCTTCAAAAAAGAGCCCTCCGGAAGATGCTAACAGAAAAGCCCCCCAAGAAAAGACTCAGAAGCCTTGATGTGTGACACAGCCTGCTGCCTTTGCGTGTGCTTGTCCTGCTGCGTAGTTGATGCCATGTTGACGGAAGCTCTTCCGTGGGAGTACCTTAACTGGCTTCCGTCCCAGGCCCTCACCCCCAAGTGTATAAGAATGCACATATATATATATATATAGTGCATTGGAAAAGAATATACAGTACAGACTTTATAGTAGAATATACCTACCAAAATGATATTATATATACATCACAATATTTATGCATAGTATATAACATTTATTCATGTTTGTCTGGTTCGTCACCCGTGTCAGTCCCGGGCTGTAAGCTGCCTTGAACGGCCCTTAGGCCCAAAGCGGCACTCCACAGAGCTCCACGACTGCAAGCAGACTCGGCCTCAGAAAGATTATTACTCGTACAAGATATATAATATATGTCTACACATTTAATATGTATATATATATATATATGTTTGTGTGGTGAGGATATTATGGTAGTCTAAGGTGCTCTTTCGATCTCTTGAGTCAGATTTGCCCTTGTAGTTTTGTCCACCTCGCACGCCGGAGTTTGTCTAGGCGGAACCCAGAGGTCGCCGACAGCGCTGGAGCAGCATCCCCAGGAAATTCTTATCAGATCACATGCATATGTTTATATACATATATACATGTATTTTATCAATATCTGTATAGTGTATATATATATATGTACACATGATTATCAATATCTATATGGGACATCTGTATATATATAAATATAAATATATAAGTCTTTGGCGAAGCTTTGTTGAGAATCCTCCCATCAGTGGCCTCAGTGGCTTCTGGAGGTCGAAGCAGGCGCTGCAGGAGGAGCCTGCGAGTGTGAAGTGAGGGTCATGTGGGATGTTCCCCTTATACTAACAGTAGGCTTTAGGGTTTAGGGTTTAGGGTTCAGGGTTTCGTGTCACTAACAATCCTGAACAGGGATTATAGTACCCCCTATTCTAGTCCCTACTAAGGACTGTTAGTTTAAGGGGGAACATCCCAAGAGTTAGTATTTGAGGGCAGCAAGTGAGAGACGAGGCAGCGTGATCCTAGCAGCACGCCTAGTACAGGTCAAGAGGGGTGGCTCCATGAGTGCAGGAGGGTTTAGGGTTTAGGGTTTAGGGTTTAGGGTTTAGGGTGCAGGCAGAAAACAGTACCGCCGTGTTCAGCTGGCTGGCTCAGGTGTGCGTGGCATTCGGTCACTGTGCAGCAGACGAAAAGCAGGTTCACTGTTGAAGTAGTGCAGATATCGCTATCTAAGCATTCGCATGAGGGCACAGTGTGAAGGAGGCATAAGTACCCATGAACCTCCAAGTAGCAGCAATCTCTAGGGTTTAGGGTTTAGGGTTTAATGTCACTGATGTCACCTTTGAGCCCTGCCATCTCCGCCATGGTTGCGGTGCAACTACGCTGCTCACGGTTGGGCAAGGCTTGGGGGCACGTGGTCTTGGTGATGCTTCTCCAAGCTCATGGACCTTGGGGTTTACAGGGTTTAGGGTTTAGGGTCGGGGTTGCCTTGGCAGGAGTCCCAGCAAGCTTGTCCGAGCCTGGGTTCAAGGATGTTGAAGGGTTTGGGGTGTAGGGTTTAGGGTTCAGGGTCAAAAGGGAACCTGAGTCCGCAAGTGTGATTTCAGAGGGTTTAGGGTTTAGGGTTTAGGGTTTAGGGTTTAGGGTTTAGGGTTTAGGGTTTAGGGTTTAGGGTTTAGGGTTTAGGGTTTAGGGAACCCTGAATACAGAAGCCAGGAAGCCCGTATATTCCAGAGTACGTTGCCTCTCGATTCCGCAGCAGCCTGGCTCTGAGCAAGCTCCGCCTGCCGGACACGTGCCCCGCACCAAGCTTTCTGCTGATCAGCCGGTTTCTCAGCCTTTGCTCGGCGTCTGGGCCTGTTCTTTGTGGTTGTGGGAGGTGGGGGGAGCCCAGGGAGCGCTCCCCTGCCGCATCAGGTTGTCTCCATCTGCGCGCCATGGGTGGCTACAGCAAAGCAAGCGGGACGCACGGCAGCAGAGAGAGTTGCGCTTCTTAGGGTTTAGGGTTTAGGGTTTAGGGTTTAGGGTTTAGAGTTTAGAGTTTAGAGTTTAGGGTTTAGGATGGTCCTCAGGAGGTCTTGATTTCTGCAGGGTCGTAAGCCCTCAACCTTTGTCTTGCATGCAACCAAGGAAGGGTGGAAAGGGCATGAAGGGTGGCAAAGGAAAAGGAAAGGCCGGCTCTTCGGTACGTGGATGCATATACTGTGTGTGGTGTGGGGTTGCAATGGCATGCAAGCTTGGCTCACCCACTGCTGTGACGTGGAGTCGTAGAGGATGTGTGTGTAGGCACCAATCGATGATTGGGAAGAGTATGCCCCTATGCCGATGAAGGGCAAAGGCCGTCAGTGCAGCTTTCTGCCGAGCTGTGCCTTTAGGGTTTAGGGTTTAGGTGTGGGGTTTAGGGTTTCGGTTTAGGGTTTAGGGTGGCCAGGCAAGGGGAAAGGAAAGATGGAATCCAAGGGAAAAGGCAAGGGCGGCATGAAGGGGAAGGGCCCGGGCCTCAAGCGTTCCGTTTGGCATTCCTTTCTGGAAGCTACACACCCTAAACCCCTGAACCCTAAACCCTAGGCCCTAAACCCTAAACCCTAAACCACAGCGCGCAGGGAAGGGAAAGATGTGGGATGACTATGAGACTTGGCAAGCCTTTGGCTGATGGCGCCATGCACCCCTAAACCCTAAACCCTAAACCCTAAACCCTAAACCCTAAACCCTGAACCCTAAACCCTAAACCCTAAACCCTAATCCCTGAACCACTTTGCAAGCAGATCGCAGCTCCTACAGACAAGGACCCGATGCCCATGAAGTCAAAGGGCAAGGGCAAGAGCAAGGCGCGCTTGGTTCGGCCCGACATTGCATAGGGTATAGGGTTTAGGGTTTAGGGTTTAGGGTTTAGGGTGAGGCTTGTCCACTTCCAGTTGTTGGCTCAGCACTCTACTCTAGCCAGGCCTACGAGTACGAGGAGTACTGGCCAACACCGGCCCCATCGAAGGTGGGTGGGTATACTCCTTTCGCGAGATCGTCGTAGGACGATATTTGCTTGCGTTGATTTCAAGGTATGCGGTATGCGGCTTACGTTTGTGCGAGAGAGCCTCACGGTTCTTGTTGATGCAGTTTAGGCTCCTCTGGCAGTCGTGCTGAGCGCAGGGCAAAGGCAAGGGAAAGGGAAAACCTGCCTGGTCAGACTACCCAGAGCCGAAGGGCAAGGGTAAGGGAAAGGCGCGGTCAGTTCGTTGAAGCATAGGCGCACAGGGATGGGAGCTGGCTTGCAAATGAAGTGGCTTTGGAGGCCAAGGGCAAAGACATGGACATGAAAGGAAAGGGCAAAGGAAAAGGCAAAGGCAAGGGCAAAGGCACGGATGGCGCAGTGTTACCCCGACGAGACATCTCACCCGACTGTCCATCGAGCAGTGATGCGTGTCAGAGTGCTATATAGTATAACGTTAGGGCGTGGGGCAGGAAAGTCCATGTACGACTATGAGGACGACTACCCACCCATGCCCATGAAGGGAAAGGGCAAGGCCCCCAAGGGCCTTGTGAAAGGCCCGGCCCGGATTCCGTGCTTTAGGGTTCGGCATCTCAGTCAGTAGTGCTGAGTTTGCGGGACTCTTGGCAGCATTTCGGTAGCGCCCTCAGTATTCCGGCAAGCCCTCAGTCCGGCTGCAGAAAAGGGTTTAGGGTTTAGGGTGAGACTCGGCCTCAGTCCGGCTGCAAAAAAGGGTGAGACTCGGCAGCCTCCTCAGCTTGGGCAGGAAAGGCCAAGGGCAAAGGAAAAGGCAAAGGCAAGATCATGGAGATGGAGCCTGCCAAGGGAAAGTCGAAGGGGAAGGGCAAGAAGGGCAAGGCCTTTTTGGGTTGAGGGTTGAGCCCTAAACCCTCAAAACTAAACCCTAAACCCTAATCGTCGAGGGTTGGACCATCGTCCTAGCAGCAAGTCCTGCTAAAAGCGCCTTGTGACGACTGAAGAGAGGGCCACCTTTTGATGTCAGAGGCCCCCCTGGACGAGCCCAAGAAGGGCAAAGGAAAGGCCGCCAAGGGCAAAGGAAAAGAAGGAAAAGGAAAGGGCAAGGGTAACATGGCGAGTGGCATCCTTCTGCCCCTCTTGTCTTCTGGGTTCCCTCATATAAAAGTACCCCCCCCCCCCCCCCCCCCCCCACCCCCCAAAAAAAAAGAAAAACAAGAGAGAAGTACCCTCGCCTATAATGCCCGCGACTGGGCTGCCAAGGTAAGGGTGGAAAGGGAAAGCGCGGCTTGGTTGTTAGTCAGCTCATTGTGGCTTCCTACGGAAATGACGATTTTGAGTTCTCAGTAATTGTTCTCGCGCCGTCCAGTGAGCTGAAAAAAAGTCAACTTTTTTTTTTCGGAGGGCGCTGCCGACTGTAGCGTTCCTTGGGTTTGGGAGGTCTTGACATGTTTGCTGTGCATGTGTGATGTGTTGCCATTGTTGGCTTTCGGCACTCGGCTTGCTTGTGGAACTCGCTGGCAGCTCTTCGTTTCGCGGCTTGTTGTTTGACGTTCTCCCTAAACCCTAAACCCTAAACCCTAAACCCTAAACCCTAAACCCTAAACTTGCGAGAGGTCAGCTAAGCGGGTGGCAAAAAAAACGCTAAACTTGCCTAGGTTGAAGCGCTTCCCCTACAGCGGAGATATGTGGCAGCTACGGACAGCTGCACTGCAAGTGCATACAGACTCTTGCCTTCTGGAGAATTCTTAGAGGGGCCTTAATATATCAACCCTAAACCCTAAACCCCAAACCCTAAACCCTCAACCCTAAACCCTAAACCCTTCATGCCTCTTGCGGCTGGGGAAGCTTTGCTTCTGAATGTGAGCGCATGCTCGTAGATGATGCGGCGGATGCCCTGGGCTATGCGCATTCTCATGGGCAGTGCAAGTACACGTTGCACCGGTACACGGCCACTACGCAGTAGAAAATCAGCTAAGCAGCCTAAAAACCCTAAACCCTAAACCCTAAGGTTTAGGGTTTGTGAAGCGCCCCTCAGTGCCCGCCCAGGGGTGGGCATGGCCGGGCAGCATGAGTCAACATTGGGATGTTCCCACTTATACTAACAGTCCTTTCCGAGGGTACTATAATCCCTTATTAAGGACAGTAACCCTAAACCCTAAACCCTAAACCCTAAACCCTAAACCCTAAACCCTAAATCCTAAACCCTAAACCCTGGGTGTTAGTTTAAGGGGGAACATCCCAAAGTCAACACCTCAACTGAGGAGTTCAGTGGATGTCATCTCGGTTACACACCGATGTGAAACATGTGGTGAAAGCCCTGAGCTCAAACAGCCTTCAGTCAGCTGCCTGGCAGCACATCGGGGGTCTGGGTTTAGGGTTTAGGGTTTAGGGTTAGCATTCCGGCAGCGCCCTCAGTCAGTATTCCGGCAACGCCCTCAGTCCGGCTGCAAAAAGGGTTTGGGGTTTAGGGCGTCTTGTCCAGCGCCTGGCGCGGCCCTCAGTCCTGGCATGAACTTCCAGGCTCAAAAGGGAGTCTTGTCTCAAAACCAACCTTTGACAGGTCCTCGCGTGAAGCCTCGAAGACCTAGCAAGTAGAGGTGACAACATAACCTCCCCTCTACCATGTGGTTTCTTGCTTTAGTGCATGCAGATAATAATATGATGGTCGGATTATGGTGTTATTCCTGTTCCAGGATGCAGGTGCAGCAACGTGGCATGTTTGCAGAACATAGACATAGGCCTCCACCGTGTATCCAGCTCCTTCCATGGAGAACGGGGAAAGTTTGGATGCTCTGCAGGCTGAGTTTGACCGGGACCAACAAGAGCTACTCGAACTTGTGGAGGAAACCCACTGCTCTTTGGAGCAGAAGTTGCGCGTCTCCTTCGCGCGGCTGCGCACCCTCTCAAGGCATCACGCAGTCGCCAGCGGGGTCACCCCGAGCTTGTCAGTCGTGTCTGATGCCTGCGCTCCGCTTTGCAGTGGCCGGGGCCAGGCCACTTTGCAGCCAAAGGCCCCTGAAGTCGATCCTTTTCCCGCTCTGAGAGATGATGGTGTGCCAGTGTCCGTGAGAGTGGAGGAAGCCCTTGGGTTAGAGAACGTGGAAAGGTTACCATCGGATAGTGAGTGGACGCCATCACCGGGCACCACGAGGCCGGCGGCGCTGCAGCCTTCGGGCTCGGCGGGGAACCTCCCCTCTCCGACAGCCAGGATGGATTTCCTCCGACTCACCGATGGAACCACCATGAGTGGCATCTCAACGATGCGCGAGCTCGTGCAGAGATATATTGACTATGTTGCTGGGGTCCTGGTTCTGCTAAACACCATCCTGATGTTGGTGGAGCTTGAGCTGGAAGGGAGAGCGACGGGCGCTGAAATCGGCTTGTCGTCTGATACAGTGAATTTCCATGACCTAGAGCCCGTCTTCAGACAACTGGACACGTTCTTCGTCTATGTCTACACCTTGGAGCTGTTGATCCGGATATGGGGCGCATGGCCCACGTTTCACCGATCCATTGCGAACTGGTTCGACGTGCTGCTGGTGGCCTCCGGTCTTGTTCCTGGGCTAAGAAAGGCTCCTTTGCAATATATATATATATATATATAGATTATATATATATATATATATCATTTAGTGTATATATGCAGCACAAGGGGTCCTGGTTTTGATCTGCTCCTTGCACGGTAGGACCAGGAAACCGCACACTTTGGCCAAACACCGCCGCCGAGGTGGATGTTTACGTCATCGTTCCACTCGCGCATAGTGGGAGTGGTGGCTTGAGAAACATCGCAAGCTGGATGCACGAGAAGCGAAGCTGGTTGCAGAGCGTCCATAGGCTTCCTGAATGTTGATCTTGATCCAGACGTTACGTCCCTATGACTCTGGTAGACTCCCGTCGGGTCTTCGTGGTGTATCCCTCCCCCCTTTGCAAAGAAGTCCGGGCTCCACAAAGTGGCCCATTCTAGATCCAATCCTGCAAGAGTCGTGCTTCCCGAATCGAGGCCATGCTGCGCTTGTTCCGGGCAGCCAAGTCCCTGAGATCCATGCGCATGGCGCCTTGGCTGCGAGAAGACATCAGGACCTTCCGAAGCGTCTTCTTCCCGTTTGACGGCATGTATGTGCACATCCTCCTTCAAGCCTCGAAGCTTTTTCAGGTTTGGGGTCTACAAAACGTAGAAGTCAGGAGTTGAACAGGTGAGCTAAATGTCTCCTGCACATGCCCGTGCCTTGACCTCCAAGTCTTGGCACGCATGCCCTAAGCCCTAAACCCTTAACCCTTAACCCTAAACCCTAAACCCTAAACCCTAAACCCTAAGGGGGTTGCCGGAGGACCGAACTGGAGGTTTCCGCCAAGTCTACTTTAGGCCGTAGGAATCCCTCCCTTGCTGCATCCTGCTGGCCTGCTCGCCGGCATCGGGCCACTGTCATCGTTTAGGAGGGTTTTGGGGTTTAGGGTTTAGGGTTTAGGGTTATAGGGTTTTGGGTGACAGAACTGAGCAGAGCGTCATTGCAGCTGCTTTGCTGTCGGAGCCGAGGTCAGAACCTTTCGGCTTTTCCAGGGCTTGCGCCTGCTCGTGCAAGCTTGTCGCGACCTCAGTCCCCATCCTTCTCTCTGGTCGTTGAAATGTAACCCTAAATCCTAAACCGAGCTACTTCGAGCCCAGGTATGTCGTCCCAGGTGAAGTGAACGTAATAGATGTATTTCCCGAGGAGATGAGGCTCGCGAGCAGACTCCCAGCCCCCGAGTATAAACTCCCTAAACTCTGAACCCTGACTTCTTACCTGTTCAATCGTCCCGAACTGTTACCCTGCACTGCAGTGTGGCTTGTTCTGCTTGGCGCTTGGCAAACAAGAATCCGAACCCCCACCCCCCACCAAACTTAACCCCCCCCTCCAAAGAAAAAAACAACCCCCCACCCCCCTCCCCCCCCCCCAAGCTGCTCGAACAAGCCTCTGAACCAGGCACGTCCTTTCTGCCTTCTCTTGGCTGGTCCATGGCCCCTTGGCTGATTAGAAGCAGCTGCGAATTCCGCAGCTGTTGCTTTCCGCTCCGCCCTTGCTACTGTAGTCCCCAAGCATCTTAGCAGGCGTTGCTGAGCTCCGAGACACAAGTTCGCGTTTCCAAGCGCAGCATGTTCCTGACTTGGACGTGCCTGCTCCGCAAGGTTCTGCTTGGTGTCTTCATGTTGATGGGGGCACTGATCATGGGAGCCTTGGTGAGGTTGTTTTGCAGGACATGCCGGGGGGGTTGAAGGACTGCGCGCACAGGCGCACACAGGCTCACCCCTTTAGTCGCAGGGAGACAGAGGAGTAGCTGTGCCTCAGGGTGTGCGGTTGCACGCGGAATCGCTTTCATACCCCTGCAGACGAAGAAGCAGAATAATCTAGGCAGACGGTCGTGACTGCAATAGATTCTAGGTGTTGTGTGTTGTGTCCAGCAGTGAGGGTCTTTGGAGCCCCGCAATTGAAGGGGGGTCGCAATGCAAGGAAGCACTGAGGAGAGGGAGGAATGACGAGGCTTAAGTCGGGCTGTAGGAGCTTGTATTCGGATTGCGGCACAGCCTTGAGCTTGGGCATGACGCTGCTTGGGTTTAGGGTTTAGGGTTGAGGGGTTGGGGTTTAGGGTTTAGGGTTTAGGGTTTTGGGGTTTAGGGTTTAGGGTTTAGGGTTTAGGGGATCACGTGCATGCGCCTTGTCCTGTGAACGCAACAACGGTGCCAAACATCACCCAACGGTTGAGGGAGTGGGCGTCGGACAGGGATGCTTGGCGTGTGATGTCTCGCCGAGTGTTTGAGTGGAGCCTGTTGCATCACACATTGGCGTATGAGTCGGCCTGGAGCAGTTGGCGAGAGCCCCTGATCCTGGAAGTCCCTTGGTTATTGAGCTTGTATCTTGTGCAATGTGAAACAGTGGCAGATGGAGAATGCGGTTACAAAGCCGTTTTTCTGCACAAGGAAGAGGGGTTCCTGACGTACCCTGTTCCCCACTTGAACCTTGCACATCTGCAGGCCACCATTGCGCATTGTAGAATGCTTCAGGAAGCCTTGTGTGTTCACATCTTGTTGACCGGCGATCTGTTGGAGACGCATTTGCATCTATTTCACCAAGTCCACTATTATCATCTACGCGATCTCGTGGTTGTCATGTTTGAAAGCGTTCCAGTCGAGTATGTAGCGCGTGTATGGCGTGTCAGCCAGCAGAGCTGATCCCGTTGTACCAGCAGCTGCTTTTTCTGGCATTCCCCACCCAGCCCAGATGGAGAAAAAAAGGGTTTAGGGTTTAGGGTTTAGGGTTTAGGGAGCTGAGCTAAGGAAATCTACTTCAAGACTCCATCAAGGATGATGTGATACAGCTTGAAGACAGGCACCCTGGTGCAATTCAGCTTCGATCAGCCAGGATGCAGCTCCGTGTCGCCAACTACCAAACCATTGAAGACTCCATGGTTGTGGTTGCTGTTTGTTGCCAGTACTGTGCAAGCTTTGCGTGACAACTGCTGTGCTGGCACAGGCAATGGCTATGGTTGCACTATGGGACGTCCTGGCAGTCGGCGTATACCCTTTACGAGATAACTTTTGATTCCTGGACGGCGCTAGAAACAGCTGTTGTGCATTTGCGGTTTTATTCTTCATCAAAAGCACATGTAAGATATCAAGCAGGACAATCGGTCCTGTTGCCCTGGGTTTAAAGTTTGAGTTTGGAAGGAGTCTAAGCAGCTTAAGCACAGGCTGGGAACTGGCCTACGCGGGCGCGACCTGTGCTTGAGAAGGCGCCCGCCCAAACACACACCGTGGAAGCATCATATTGTGATTCTTCTGAATATTGTCGCTGCACGTGCTGTGCTGAAAGGTGAGCGCGTATTTTGCGATCTTCTATGTCACCTACATAACGGTCACTTACTTCGCCTTCAGTTGAACTTTAAACTTTTTCTGGGCTTCCTGATTTAGCAGGAATATTAGCGTTTAACCTCTTTTTTCCCCTTGGTTATTGGAGAAGTAAGGTCATTGTGTTTGCCGTGATAAGAGTGATCAGCGCAATTTTTCTCAAGGTGGCCCGGCATGGCAGTGCCTATCAGCATGTGCGCAAACATGTCGGCCACATGTTCGCGTCAGCTCAGTACAGACTGCCTTTGAGAATCCCTGCCATTCAGGATACCCTGGATGCTGCACACAGTGATGCTGAGAACATGGTTGCCGAAAACCTTGCCA